ATGGATGGATGGATGGATGGATGGATGGATGGATGGATGGATGGATGGATGGATGGATGGATGGATGGGCCCACAGACAGACTGTTGGACAGATGGATGGACAAGGGGCCACTTCTTCCCAATGATAGACAAAACAAGCCCCTTTCAGCCTTTGCTTTTAATTTCCCTTTTGATTAATGAGCAGACATTGAAGCATTGTCATCTATTCTTGTCCTCGTGAGCACCATCCACTCCATCCAATGCCTGCCTTGAGAGCTCCAGTCCTGTGCTTTCCTAGAAGTTCAAGGGACAGAGCCCAGAGCCTCTATCTCAGGCACAAGGCCTCTTTTCACGCCTTCCTGCTACCTTTGATGATAATAGAAACTCCAGGCACCTGTGCATCATTTGTGAAAGTTCTTTTAGGCGAGAATGGTGGTTCTCATTTTCCTACTCTGTACCATAGTTGCCATATCTGTGACATGGGAACACTAGGGTTATCAAACTTATAGGGTTGCTTGAGGTTTTTAAATGGGTAAATGTATAAATAGAAGTTAATCTTAATTATAGTTTGAAAGTAGTGGAAATAATAGTCCTTGGTTAAGAAATAGACAAAACTTACCATTAACCGTAAAATTAGGCGTAAAGTGACAGAATCATCAAGTTGTAGAGCCTTAAAATGAACTTTTTTTTCCAAACAGCATTCAATGTTTTAGAATCTTTGTATTATTGATACAAGTTTTTAAATTTTATTATTATGATATGTCAGGTGGTGGCTGTGTACTAAGTGTCTTGCATTTCAATGTGTTCCTTTTTTTAATTTATGGTTCTGTACTTTTGGGTATTAGGGTGTTTTCCCTTCTATATTCTATTGCATATATATAGTATTTCTATTATCCCTATAAGCTTGTCTGGAAACCTATCACTGTACTATTATTTCTATGGGAAAATATAATCCCCTGGTCCAACTCTCAAACTCTGCAATCTTTAGAGGTAGAAATTAGTCAGAGGATGGAAGATGGCCCAGCAATGTTCTACAGAGTCAGGCAAACTTTTTGAACCACATACCACTGTTCCCTAAATATTAATATTTTGTGTAGAGCAGCATTTTATTAGCCTACTTACATTAATCATTTGGACCTTTGATTTAGTAATGCTTTCTTACTACCATCATTTTAAATAATCACTACTCTAGCTTCCCACTGTCTCACTAGGCATTTTTATGTATGATTTGGCCAAATATTTATGAGTCAGAAAACTTTATCTTACATCAGTATAAACAAATCTAACTGTAATCAGAATATTATTTATAGCCAGTGTTTGACCTCTCCACTAACATTGGTGTGCAGAGAAGAGGAAGGAAAAAAGAACAAAACCAAAACCAGCCAAAAATTCCCAACCTTCTTTAGAGGAAAGGAAATCGAAGTAAAAGACTAGCCAACATCAGTTTTAACTTTTCATTTTCAAAGCACACTGTTGACCGAGACATTTTATTGGAGGTAGAAATTAATGTTTTAATTGCATTTCCAAACTACTTTTTCTGTAGACAGTTATATTTTCCTTAGAAAGTTAAATGGGTCATAGGTCTGTGGAATTTTTAAAAATAGATTTTTCAGTGTTTTCTCATAGGCTTTGCATTTGTACTTTTAGAAAGAAAATGTATGCCTTGGATTTCCTGCTGAAGGACAATGTCATTGATATTGTTAGTAAACAGCCTAGTAGAACAAGCATAAACCTCTTGTGAGAACATTCCTTCCTACAAGGAGTTGGGTTTGCCCTTTCCCAAGATTTGATTCTGTGAAAATTCTTTAAGACGTATCCCGGCCAGAAAATGCTATTTCATGTTACTGTGCGTTCATGTTAGTAGATGTTGTTGGTACCAGAGGATAAAAAACACCGTGATTATGAAATTACTGATGGATTTTCAATGTCAAGGAAATGGCCACATTTGCAGAATTTTGGACCACCTATTTTAAAATGATTTTAAAAGGATATTCTTAAAACTCATATTCTTACAAGTATCATTGAATAAGACATTATTAAGAAGAAGATCCCACTGAAATTATCAGTTTGCCTTTTCAAGGGGAAAGCATTATTTAGTAAAATAGCAAACACAAAGCTCTGAATTTTAGCAAAGAATTACATGAACGCTGACTGGGTCTTCTTCTTTACTTTTTAGCTGTACGACAAAATTAACACAAAATCTTCACCACAAATCAGGAATCCTCCGAGTGATGCAGTACAGAGAGCCAAAGAGGTAAGTGATATGTTTTGCTAATCTATTTGGATATCATATTTGCTACCTTTATTGAAAGCATTTCTAATACACAATAAGAGGCATTTTCCTTGGAGACACAGTTCAACCCTTGTACTCCAGCGTTCTAAGTTTATCACTGAATATTTACATAGTAACATTGCATAGATTTCTAGTTCTGGTTCTGTTGTTAACTTGAACACATTAACATCAATTGTACTTCTCTTTTTTGAAAAAGCAACACGAAAAAGTCATTTTACTGTTGGATGGAAATAGACATACTATGAAAATTTCAGTTGCGTTTTTAGGCTGATAGTATTTGAAAGTTAATTAAATATCTATAGTAATTAAATAGACTGAGTTCAGAGAAAAGTAAGTTTAATAAATTGCCAATGTGCACCTGTCACAAATTTTTAAACTTTAACACAGAAACATGACATTGCAGTAGATTTGAAAAATTAAAAATTCATCCATATCCCATCACCCCAGCACAGTAATTTTCATTTTTGCATATCCATTCCCAATCGTAGCTATTTGCATATAGATTCTTATAGTTACTATAAAGATGTAAGTTTTTTTACCCCGCATTATGTAATAAATATTTATCCATGTTTCTATTTTGTCTTCATAAATGTTAGTTCCAGTGATAGCATAATTTTTCTTTGCTTGCTTGACTAAATTATAATGAATTAGCAAGTTTCTCCATTGTCAGACACCACCTATTTTTTTTTCACTTTCTGATGCTGTAAATGTGTTTATGCAAATAAACATTTCCCTGTTTAAAATTTTTTTCTTATACTGTGAGATTACTAAGTGAAAGTATGTGAAAGACATAATCCTAACCCCACCAGATTTTAAACAAAAGGCCTACATTGGAAAATAATTGATTTGCTGAGAAACAAGGTGAAGGACATGATGTCTGCGAGGCCCGCCCATTTTGACACTACACCGGCCAGGGGAGGTTCTCTCTGACTTGGGGGACCACACCTTGCTTATTGGCTTGTTAAATAATATAACAGATAACCAGTTCCTGCTAGTTAAGAGTGCCTTGAGATAAGAAAGAATCCCATAGTTTTGTTTATTTGTTCTTCCCTGAGAAAGTGGTTGAGTAGCACATAGGTGTGCTACTGAAATCTGAAATCTGTAGGCTAAGTGACCCCTTAACTCTTTAATACCCCAGTGTTCAAATTTTCAATGGTGAGGGAAGAGGTTCCTACTAGGTAGATGACTTGAGTGTTCCAGATATCCCATCCAGATGAAATAATCCTTGACTCTCTCAACTCTGAAAACTGAGTGCAATGTGTATATCCACCTGGTGAGCTTAGCCACCTGCAGTTAGAACCTTACTGTGCATTTCCTCTGAACAAGAACACTTTACTCTGGGCTCATGTCACATAATCAAATTTGAAATGGGTAAACTCCATCCTGGTGGGAAGGGAAATCTTTTGAAGAACAATTTTATTTTAAAACAACCATTTCCACCTGTACAAGGAAATGTTAACTGTTAGTAAAGAAAATTTGAAAGGAAGGTGAAAATTTTGCTTTTTTAACAATTATTCTCTTGGATTCCTGGCACTCAGTCCTAGGAACCATTGGCAAAGCATGGTCCTCTGTATGTGAAGTAGAGAATAACATTGATTCCACTGGGTTGCAGGGAAGATTACTTAAATGTTTTTCCTTTTTAAAATTATTTTTTATTTGAACCTATGTCATTTTAACCTTTCTAAAAAGAACAATTTTGCTAATATAAAGGAAAACTGTTATTAACTTTTATTATAGATTCCTTTTGGTGGTCAGTTTGAGAAAAGATTTACAGAGCTATATTTCCACTAAGTTACTTATACTTCTAATTTGTGTTATAGACTTTTTTTTTTTCATTTTGTTTTTTATTTTTTCAATAACCTTTTAAGTTACTGCTGGGTAATGTAAGCAGAAACTATTGCAACTGTTTGTTTTATTTTGATTACTATCAGTACATTTATATATTCAAACCTATGAATAAAATAATTTTGGCAAAATAATTTTGTCTACTATAAATATCCATTTGTAATTTTTAATTTAGAAAGGATTCTACATATTCTAAATCTTGTATCCTGTTTGCACTATCATATATCTTGCTTAATTTTTAGGTATTGGAAGAAATTTCATGTTACCCTGAGAATAATGATGCAAAGGAACTAAAACGTATTTTAACACAACCTCATTTCATGGTAAGTAACAAACTTGCATAGAACTAAAACCTTACTTTCGAATGATGTCCTTAAGAAACCTCACAAAATCTAGCCATCTTCAGCAAATATGGTTTTATCTATAGACTACCAAACTCTTCAAATTATAATACCAGATAATGTCCGATATTGTGCATTAATATTCTTTTGTTTACTCTGTGTGACTGTTGTAAATAAGCGGTGTCTGAGGTGACGCTTCAAGGACTGTGTAGTCATCAGGTAAGATTGACTTCCTGATAGGACAGTACTTAAGTCACTGGAACTTTTGCAGAGAGCTCAAGTGTAACCCAATCAGTGAAATAAGAGTTTTTTCCTCAAAGTCACCCACCCTCAAGAAAGAAGAAATTATGACATTCACTCTACCTGCCACTAAGCATTGAAGAATAAACTCAAATATCATCTTCTAGTATATTTGACTTGATTCCATAGGATCCCATGGGATACCAGAACTCCACATTACAGTAAGAAATCTAATTCTGTGCCAGTATTTGAAAACATATTACAATTTAGGTGTGTACACACAGAACTCTATTCAGACTTCATCTTTGTTGTTAGTCTCTCCTAACACTTCTGGAATCCACATTGACCTTTCTCTTCTTTAATCCTTTCTGCTCCTGTTTGTATTCACCTGCGTATCATTCTTATCTGTGCTGCTAGCCAGTGAATGGGTATAGCTCTATAGTTTGATCTCATTTTATTTTTAAACCTGTCTCTCAGATCAGGAAAATGAAAACACAATATGCCTTAGTAGTATCAAGTTTGAGAAATCACAAATATTGGAACTAATTACCCTTAATATTACTTTGTTCCCTGGTTGTTCCATATGTATAGGTCATGTCTCCCCAGATTATAATTAACTTCCTTTTAGGAGTCGCATCTTATATAGCATAAAAATGGTTAAAGCTGCACATTCAGATAAATCTGGGATTGAACTCCAACATTGCTACCTTACCTCTGTGAACTCTGATTCTCTGAGCTAACTCCATGGAGTTGGAATAAGAATTAAGTAGATGATATACTTAGCATGCTTAGCATATTCCCAACATACATATGTTAAATGCCTAATAAATGGTAGCTAATGTATATTATTGGTTATTCCATAGTGTCTATGCATAAGGCACAGATAAGTTCTCAGTCAAACACTGACTGGAGTAGGAATTATCCATTCACAGGTAGCTTAACTGCACCTCAGCTAACTCTTCTATGTGGTATGTTTTACATAAATATATGCCTGTACATTTTGACAGATATGTCTGTATATACATTACTAAGTAACCTCAGCTTAATTCAGAGAATGATATAGGACCATTTGAGACCAATAAAACCTTTCAGATTTCACATAAAATAAATAATTAACATATACCCAATAACAGTTTTTAAAGAAATATTGTATTTATCAAAAACATCAGTATTCCATTGCAATTAGTATACAGATCTTTTTGAAGGTGAAGAATTTTTTCAAATTTATGAAACTCAGATAGCCCCATGTCCTACAACATACTTACCTTCAAAACTTTGAATTATTTTGCTTTTCTGAAATCAGAGAGAAGTTAACATATGCATTGCTGTGAGTATTTTCAAAATTAATCATTATTTTAATCTCTGAATATCTTAGTAGGTGCTTAAAAGACATTGTCATTCACTCATAAATGTATAAACTCCTACTATGTGCCAGGCACTGTGCTAGGCATTAAGGATGGGACAAACAGGACAAACAAGATCACTGCCCTCATGGAACTTCCATTCTAACTGGAGTAGGGAATGAATACGTGAGCAGGAGGCAGACAGTGAGCAAGTGAGCTAACAAGGTATTTGCGTCTAGTGATAATAACTATGTGGAGAGAAGAAAATAAAGGATAATGGGGTAGAGGTAATAGTAAAGTAGGAGCTGTTTTAGATACTCAAGTTAAAACCTCTCCAAGGAGTTAGCCTTGGGCTAAGAATTGTCACATGAAAGAACCAGTCTCCTGAAAGTCCAAGCATGGGGGAAGATCAGAGGCAGGAAAAAGTTTTGTAGATTCCAGGTACAGAAGTAAGGCTGTTGTGGCTGGAGAGAGTGGCACAAGAAGCCTACTAAGTAGAACTTTATGAACCATCATAAGGAGTGTACATTTTCTGCTGACTGCCAGCCTATTTAAAGAGCACTGGGGTTGATGTATAGAGAATGGACTATAGGGGGGAATAAGAGTTAAAAGAGAGAGACCAGTTAAGACTCACCTATGGGAGATAGTAGAAGTTTCAGGTAGGATTGAGCTAATGGAAAATGGGTAGGTAGGTTTCTGTGTTGAATGTTGTTGGAAAAAAAACAGGACTTGATGGTGGTTAGGATGTAGGTGCTATGATAAACCCTGTTTTACAGTTCACAGAGGAAACTGCACCACAGAAAAGTAGAGATTTACTTCAAATCACCCACTAATAAGTGGCCTCACTGAGGTTCAAACCCCAGATCATGCTCACTCCAAGTCCATGCTTGTAAAGGGAGTAAACTTGTAGGATCTGTTTTCCTATAAACTCAAATTAGTTTGGTCATTCCCAAATAAGCATATGTTTGAATAATGTCCCATGTGGGAAATATAATTCTGAGCTGTATATATTATGTCAAATAAACTTTTTGATGTTATAGGTTTCTATCTTATAAGTACTTTAAGATCATCATTTCAAAATCTTGGTATTTTAAAGAAAATATTAATAGCTAAAGAGAAATATTTTTTAAATAATACAATAGTTTATTTGTACATCATTTTGTGCCTTCTTCCATCTCAGTTGTAATCCCCGTGGGCGTCCCATCACCAAATCACCCATGTGCCATCACCATAGTCCAGTGCATTTCCCTCCCCCCGTGGTTTTATATCCCATTCCCTACTCCACCCCCATATAATGTCTCTGGTATATAGCTGTTCATTATTGTTGCTATTTTCTCACCGGATCCGTTATACTCCTGCTATGAGTGAAACCATCCAGTATTTTTCCTTTTCTTTCTGGCTTATTTCACTAAGCATGATCTTTTCCAGCTCCATCCATGTTGCTGCAAAAGACATGTGTTTATTATTTTTGGTTGCTGAGTAATATTCCGCTGGGTATATGTACCACATCCTTTTAATCCAGTCATCTACTTTTGGGCATTTGGGTTGATTTCATGTCTTTGCAATTGTAAATAAAGCAGCAATAAACATGGGGTGCAGGTATCTTTTTGAATCAGTGTTTTTGTGTCTTTTGGGTGGATACCTAGGAGTGGGATTGCTGGGTCATATGGAAGCTCCATGTTTCGCAATTTAAGAAGATTCCAAAGAGTGTTCCATAGTGGGTGTACTTGTTTGCATTCCCATCAGCAGTGCAGGAGAGTTCCTTTTTAAAGAGAAATATTTTAATGCTTTTAGTATTTTCATACCAAGATTTCAGGGTTATTTTGTTATGCTTATAGTTTCACACCTATTTGTCCAATTTTCTGATTTTTCTTTTTTTCCTGATCTTAAAATATGAGAATTTAACATTTAATTTTCTGATACATAATTTATAGATACTAGTAAATATTTATAATAATAAACAAGAGTAAAAATATACAGGCATACATGATTTATATAAATCTGTACTCTATCTTTGGGAGGTGATGATAAAAAATATTATTGAACTAATCCCTTTTTCAGTTCCATTTGAAAGCTCACTTTTTTTTTTAATGAAAGACCATTTGTTTATAATAGTTGTAAAAAACTTTGATTTTCCTACTTTTTAATGTTGCATAGTTTTACAATCTATGAATGGTTCTTTTTTTGTTCACGTGTGATTTTGAACCTTTGGTTTATTTTATTATGGCTGTCTTTACAGTGGAAAATTGTGGTTAAATTAAGTATAACATCACTGGTGAGATAATTTCTCTTTAAAAATCAGTGTGAATATTTTGTGATTATGGACTTATCCGTCCTTATTATTAACACACTAAATACAAGTGTTTGCTAATATAATTTAAAAAGCTGAATAGAAATCAGTTGGGGAAAAAAACAGCATAAACACTCTCTTTATTCTATGTAATTGGTGCTATCCCGATGAAAACTTGAATGTCTGTTTATACATCCTCCAGCCATACAAAGCATTTTTTAAATTCACTAATTATAGAAGGCACATCTATAGTTGATATGATGAATATAATTTTAGTAGATAAATGTTTTCAGTTTTTCTATTTTTTCAACTTTTGCTTTCTAACCTAAATCTTGGTCTTTTAAGTGACTGCCGTTTCAAGAGGGATTCGCTCACTGAGCTCAACCTTTCCAGAGCCCGGAGTGCCTCTCTGGCCACTTGGCCCAGAGTAGCACTTAAGGCACCAGTCAGGAAGCCACAATCCCAGGGCCATTGTGGAGTCTTGCTTCCTCTCAAGCTGTCCATTGCTTAGCAACCCTTCATGCCCCTCATTCGGACTCCAATTGATTTTATTTTTTTAAGATTTATTTATGCATACAAGAACTGGGATGTAGGCCAGAGGTGCAGGGGCTGAGAGGATTCACCAGAGACTGTGGGGAGCAGAACAGGCAGATGTACTGAAATACATAGCTGAGGGGAGCAGTCGGGAGACAGGAGAGGTCTGCTGCGCCTTGTGGGTCAACTCCCTGGCCGGGGATTGAACTCATGCTGGAGTGGCTGGCGATGGCTTGATAGCTCTGTGTCTCTAAACCCTGCATCACCAGGAAGGCCCCCAGACCCAATTCAGACTAGTCCTCTGAGAAGTATCTGCCATTGCCATGAGAAACCCAAAGGCACATATTGCTCCAACTGTGTGCTTTATTGATGACAAATCAAGACCATCTTCTTTATGATCTTACCACATTGTTCCCTTATTTTTGCCTTGTACACATGCCTTTCAAAAAAGGACAAGTTATAGCTTTGATAAACCGTTACATTAAATGGCTGAATTTGAGATGCTATGGGTTATACTTTTATAAGCAGATTTAATTGTGTTTCATTACCTTCAGCTATTTCATTACAATCCAAACCACACATTAAAATAGAACTGAATTTATAGTTAACACACAAGAAAATACAGTCTGTATAAAGCACCAAACATATTGATACTCAGCTGTAAAATTCTCTCTAAAGTCAAAATATTCAAATATTCATGCTTGCCAAAAACTTTTTTATGATGGTACAAAAAGTGCAGTAGATAAAGAATATCCTTTTTTAGAGAAACAATTATTATGCGACTTCACAGAGCTGACAAGTAGTTATCAGTACAAAAATGACTCTTATTACATTTTTGTCAGGTGCACATTTGTGTATTTTTATTTCTTTTACTAAGTCATGTATTATAAAATATATTCATCCCTTGATTTGTATAGAAGTTGTTAATACCATCAATGAAAGATATTTGTTCAACATACCAACTTTACATCATTTCTTTTAAATTTTGTTTCCATTTTAAGTACAAATGTGCCGGTGCTATTTGAGTTTTCTTTGAGAGGCAGAGAATTATTTTATATATGCTTATGTCATAAATTTCTGCTGTGATCATTCTATTATTAATATTTTATTATCTTCATAAAATAATAGGCCTTACTTCAGACTCATGATGTAGTGGCACATGAAGTTTACAGTGATGAAGCATTGAGGGTCACACCCCCTCCCACCTCTCCCTATTTAAATGGTGATTCTCCAGAAAGTGCGAATGGAGACATGGATATGGAGAATGTAACCAGAGTTCGGCTGGTCCAGTTCCAAAAGAACACAGATGAACCAATGGTAAGTAGGAAAGAAAGCTTTCTGTACTTTCATAAAACCCCAGTGTGAGTTAGAGCAGCTGGCTTAAACCTATGCTACTAGGGTCAGAGGACATGGATAGTTTAAAGAACTCAGTTTCCAGATCCTCATTGTGCCAACCCACTTCCACTCCCCATCCCCACCAAAAACTGTTCTCCCAGACACCTTGCCTTAAGTATGTTGGCTTTCTTCCCCTACCTGTCCTTCCACAATTGCTCCTAAACTTTCCCCAAAAGGGCATACCTGACACAGTAAGTCCTCACTTAACATCTTCCAAGAGTTCCTAGTAACTGACTTCGCACTCATTTATATTCATTCATTCATTCATTCATTCACTTTCTAAACCACTTCTTCCAGTTTAGGCTCACTGGTGGCCAGAGTCTATCCCAGGAGCTCCAGGCACAAGACAGGCCCCAACCCTGGACAGGATGTCCTTCTTTCACAGACACACACACACTCACACACACTGAGACTGGGACAATTTACACACACTGTGAATTTAATGAGTACATCTTTGGGAGGTAGGAGGAAACTGGAGCACCCAGGAAAAAATCTATGCAGAATGGGAAGAACAGGCAGACAGTGGCCTCAACTGGGAATCAAATTTTCCTGATCAATGTTATAATGAATCATTCAAGGACCTGTTGACCATGACACTGGGGTATAAAAACGCGTATAACAGCAAGGAAAGGGCTGATTGGAAATATTCATGTTGGTGCTGGAAAAAAACGTGATTGTTAATTAAACACCCTTTTTTTAAGATTTATTTTATTTATTTATGCGTACAAGAACTGGGGTACAGGCCAGAGGTGCAGTGGATGAGCAGATTGCCTAGAGACAGATTGGGGAGCAGAACAAGCAGATCTACTGAAATGCACTGCTGAGGGGAGCAGTGGGTGAATCAGGAGAGGACTACTGCACCATGCCAGTTAGCTCCTTGACCAGGGTTTGAACTCATGTGCAGTGGCAGACAGTAGCTTGATAGTGCTATTCTAGCAGGGAGGCCCTAAAACAGCCCTTACAAGTCTGTTGGTTTCCAAATCCTTATCCTACAACAAAATTAATAAAAACTAATTCAGAAGAAAATCAAGAAGTCGAGCAACATTTATAAAATAAAATTGCTTCTAGGTACTTCTACCCATTTAACATGAATTAATTTTCTCAGCGCTTAGGAATAATCTCCATAAAATCCTCATAGAATGGAAAAACTTGATATTAGCTGTACAAATTGTGGGCGAGGGGTGGAATTGGAGATCATCGGCCAAACCATGTAGCAGTGCAGAAACCTGATGGTTAAAAGCTATTAGCCTAGACTTACAATGGAAGGAAGTCCCTGTGCCTAAACTCCAGAAACCAGGGAAGTGTCAGGAAGCGGCCACATGACTGCTGAAAGGCCTAGTAAGCATTCCATTCTTTATCTTTAAAACAGTGGGAAGCTATGGAAGAATTTTAAATGGGGAGATAAAATTAGAATTCCATTTTAGAAATTATTACTTTGGAGAATGGATGTGAGGACACCAGTTAAGAGGCTATTGTTGCAGTAATAGAGGAAAGAGGATGGCCTGATGGGCCTCTGAACTAGAGGAATGGACTTCAAATGGAAAAAAGTGAATAGATTTAACAGAAGAGTAAAATCAATAGACCTTGATAATGGATTGACAGCGGAGATGAGGGAGAAACAAGTATCAAGTATCAAACACGTTGTGACCCATTCACAACGTGATGGATAACGATGTAACTCACTGAGACGGGGAATATTGGAGAAGTTCCAATTTTGGAGGGAGAATCATCTCTTTAGGGGATAAATGCATTCAAACTTATGCATTCATAACTTTGTCTCAGAACTTAGAGAAGGGGTATTGAAATATAGAAGAAAGCACATTGCCTACTTAACAAAAGTTACCCAGTTACTTTCCAAATTAATGGAAGAGTTACAGAGCAATGATTCTATGACCATGATTCCCAGAGTCCTCAGCTCTAGAGCTTTCAGGTTTGTAATGCGCATTTATTGTTTGTTGCTAGTTATACTCTATTATCCCAGTTCTTGCAGTAGACAGGGGCCAGACAAATCTCATCCCTTCTGGTACTTTTGGCTTAACAGCACAGGCAGTAGAACCTTTTGGTGCCTTTGGCAAATCACTTCATATCAGTGGGCCTCAGCTTACCCAAACTTGCTTAGCAGATAATGCCAAAAGTGTACTTTGACTAAATGATACCCAAGATCCCACCCAGTTCTGAAGGTCTAATATCCATTCTTTTACTGTGTTCATTGACTTCTTTAGCAAATGATTGTTACATGCCTTCTGTGTATAGATCCCTGCATTAGATGCCAGTGATAGTGGCAGTTAAGACTGGTCCCTCCCCAAACTCAGTTCTCATGAGGCTGCCTGCATTTAACAAGTAAACTTGCCATTGAGCATAGTTTTTCTAACAAGAATAGTTATGACAGAGCTATAAAGACAAGCCTATGTAAGAGAGTCAGGAAGGAGTAACATTCAGTCAAGCAAAGCAGACAAGAAGGTGTAAAGGCCTGTAAAAAGGGACCAAGAACTGTCTTGAGATCATGTTCTAAAGAAACCCAGTGACAGTTGCTTGATGTTTTGGATGAAGGATACTACAAAAAGATACAAACTGAGTACAAGCATGAAACTGCATTCTTGAGTTACTGTTTTCAAAAAGCATAAAATAGACTTGAGTCTCCCCTAGAAAAGCTCTTCTCTCTTATCTGTGATCCTAATAAAGGTGTATATTCTCCTTTGGCTGGCTGCATAAAATGGGAATGGTTTTTGTAAAATACATTTTTTCAATAGTTGAACACAGTAAGTCTTCACTGTAGTTTTTAGATTATTAGAAATCACAACTTTAAGCAAATCAACAAATAAAAAAACAGGTCCTTAGTAGGTCGTTGCATCCAGCAGGAGTTGTTCTTTCCTCATCAATATTATGACAAAACCATGTTGAACAAAACTATAATATTTAAGAACCTGCTGTATAGATCTCTACTACATTTAGTACAACTTTATTTACTTCCTTATTTTTTTAAGCATTATTACTGTACAAGATATGCCATTATAACCCTTTTGCCTTATATCTTTTGATTGGAAATCTGTTAGCTGCAAATGACAAAGGCCAGTCTTCAACTAACTTAGACAACAGGGAAAAGGCTTATGTAAACAAGGAAGTGCTGGGAGTTTACCCCAAGCCTGGGTAGGTTCAAGTGTAGGCACCTATCCCAAACTGAACCAATTCTGTTCCTGGAATTTGGGGAGGTGAGAACATGAGTCTATTCCTCTCTGTAAAGAAATATTTGGGGCTGACAAAATAATAAATATTAACTCCATTTGGTTTAAAGTGAACTTCCCCTAGCTATGAAAGACCCTATATGTCTCATTCAGTATTGTGCCTAGCAGAGATTCTGGCATATAGCAGGTTCACAGTAACATGAGTTGAAGGAAATTTTATTTATTTTAAGGATGGAACCCTCATTGTACCATCAGTTCCCGTACGTATTTAACTTAGACTTACACATTACTTTACAACATTTTTCCAGGAACATCTCTTTTTTTAACCATACTTGTTGATTGAATGTACAAGTTAGAAATGAAACTTGAACAGTAGAGTTAAACGTTGGAACTAAAAACATTTTATCAAACCAGTCTTCCACATTGCTTGCCTATCACTTCCAAGAATGCAAAATAGGAAAGATGCTGTTATATTTTGTGGAATTGTACAAATTCAGAGTCTAGCTTTTAAAGTCTCAAATCTTTTCATGAGCCTTCTTGACAGAGTGTTCTTCTATGATGAAGATGAGTCAAAGTCTGTACCCTTAACCATCTAAAATTCAAAACCAGTTTCCACCAAGGAAGTTTATTAAAAACATAGATTTCTGGATTTCATTCCTGACTTCCTGAATCTAAATCCAAAGAGCTGGTTTAAAAGTTAGTATTATTTAAAAGTCCCACATGGATTATGGTGATGGTTCATGTGTACTATGGTGATAGCAGAAATAAGGGGATACACCTGAGGGGAGAAATCAAATATTTCACAAAAATGAACAGTGGTGGAAAAAATATATAAACCAATTTAATCATAAACATATAATGCATATAATATCATGCATATACTTAAAATTTTCCCCAAAAGGCAAAAAATTTTTTTAATAAAAAAATGAAAGGTCCCATGTGATTCATAGGATCAACCACATCTAATGCAACAATATGTTTGTAAAAGCTGGTCTTATAATAGTGAATAATTAGGGGGAAAGGTAATTCAACCCAACAGTAGTAGTCTGCCATTAAATATGTAGAGCTTTTACTTCTGGCCAAGAGGGTGTAAAGGGATCAGATTTACCCTCTTAAACTAAAATAACCAAAAAAAAAAAAAAAAGGCTTAAGACAATTACACAAAAGAATAGTTTTTAAGACATTGACATCAGGTAACAAAGGACAATGATCCCCTAAAAGACAAGAAAACAAAGTGAGCCCTTACTGCCCTGAGAGAGTTTCCAGACAGTCACTGTACAGGGAAGGAAGAACTGGAGCAGAGCAGAAGGTTGATAGTACAGAAGAGGAGGGAACTACACGGAGGGAGCCCTCTCTGCACACACAGAACCACGGAATCACCATCCAAAAAGATTAGAGCAAACACTACCCAGCACTCACTACCTGCTCTCACCAGCTAGACAGGTAAAACCAATTTGTGGGGCATGTGTAGAGTACTCAGGAAGGGCTTGCCACAGAACTGAGGAATAATTAACCCTAGACTGAGAATTGCTTCAGACCTACCTAATGAATCATGAAAGCAAGACCCCAAAATCAAGCTCTTTCCAAATAAGAGAAGTATATCCCAGTACAAAGCTAAGGATGCTTACAGGACTCTTTTTTTTTTTTTAGTACAATTAGGGAAATTATCTTTTTTTATTTATTTTTATATTTTTATAGTACTTTATTTTTACATCATGTTGTGCCTTTTCCCATCTCAGTTGATATCCCCATGGGCTTCCGGTCACCAATTCACCCATGTGCCATCACCATAGTCCCATGCATTACCCCCCCACAATTTTTTAGCCCATTCCTCACTCCATCCCCGTAAAATGTCTCTGATATATAGTTGTTCATTATTATTTTTCCCCCTGGTCCTTTATGTTCCTGCTATGAGTGAAACTATCTGGTATTTTTCTTTTTCTTTCTGGGATATTTCACCAAGCATGATCCACTTATAGGGATTTTTTTTACTTATGCATACAGAACTGGGGTACAAACCAGAGGTGCAGGGGCTATGAGAGGATTCACCAGAGACAGAGTGGAGAGCAGAACAGGCCCACTGACAAAGTACACTGCTGAGGGGAGCAGCGATGGGGCAGAAGAGGTCTGCTGCGCCATGTGGGTCACCTCTGGGGTGGGCATTGAACTCATGCTGACTTGGCTTTAGCTTCTTGGCACTGTTCTTTAACCTGCTGCGCCACCAAGGAGGCCCCACTTATAGGGATTTTTTTAAATCTAGCATACAGCATGGTAAAATTCAGAATGTCTAGCATCTAGTCAAAGATTACCAGGCATGAAAAGAGTTAGGCAAATGTAATCATATTATATGGGGGAAATACTCAAATTGAAACAGAACTGAGAAAAAGTTAGCAGAAGGGTACACTATGGGAATGATGACAGATCAAATATTTCAGAAGGGATTAGCGAACTCAAAGACATAGCAATAGAAACTATCCAAGAGTACTGAAAGAGTAAAATCTCAACTTAGAATCGTAAACCCAGCAAAGGTATCTTTCAAGAAAGTGTGAAATAAAAAAATATTTTCACAATGCCGAAAGTGAAAAGATCCAGTAGATCTACAGTATAATAAATGTTAAAGGACACTCATCATTTAAAAGGTAATTGGCAGTTTAAACAAAGAATGGCTGTGTTTGGGATTTATAACATATAAAAGTAAAATCTATAACAGCATAAAGGCCAAGAGGAAGTGGTATAACATCATTTGAAGGTAAACTGTGATAAGTTAAAGATATATGCTATGAATTCTAGAGCAGGACCTCCCTGGTGGTGCAAGGGGCTAAGTCTCAGCACATTGAAGCTGTCTGCAGCCACTGCAGTATAAGTTCAATCCCTGGCCAGGGAGCTGACCCACATGACACAGCAGAATTCTCCTGTTACACCCGCTGCTCCCCTCAGCAGTGTACTTCGGTAGATCCACCTGTTCTGCTCGCCACTCTGTGTCTGGTGACTCCTCTCAGTCCCCCGCCCCCAAACCTCTGGCCTGTGCCCCAGCTCTTGTATGCATAAAGAAGGAAAATAAATCTTTTTAAAAAAATAACTCTATGAATAAATCATGCCAGTTCCACACAAACTTCCCAAAACATTGAAAACAAAGGATTCTCCCCAGCTTCTTACTGATGAGGAAGAGGAAGAAGCAGAGGAGGCTAGCATTACCCTAGCCTCCAAAATAACAGACAAAACCAGATAGACTTATCAAGAAAAGGAAACTACAACTGCTATTCTTCTTGAATATAGATACAAAAATTGTAAACAAAATCAGATTTCAAAAGGAGAATATGTCATAACCAAGTGAAAACTAATCCAGGAAATCAGTGTTCTATATAATAGCTAAAAAGTAGAAACAATTCAGTGGGTGAATGGATTAACAAAATGGTATATCCATGCAGTGGAATACTCAGCAAGAACAAAGAATGACCTGGTGACAAGTTTGGATCTAACATTGTAAGTGGGAAGGAACACAAGCAATGAAAAAGAGTGTGTGCTGTAGGAGTTCATTTATAGAAAGTACAAACTAATCTATAGTCAGTGAAAGCATATCCATGGCTGCTGAGATTGTTGGGGGAGGGCGTGGAGGGATGGGAGTAGACAATCATTGGCATGAAAGTTTTGGATATAGTCACTATCCTGATTGAGGAAATGGTTTCACACATGTATACCTGTGTCGCCCTTATCCAATTGTCAGTTATGCATAAATAATAATTAGCAAGGTGAAAACTAGAGCAACACAGAAAATAATTATAGCTGGAAAACACTATATAAAGTATATGCATGCTATTATAATAATTAAAATACCAAAAAGAGTATTTTTTTTTGTTACAGCATGCCGGGGTAATAGATGGGTTCCCCCTCCATCTATCCATTTAAAATATTTGTCTAACTTATAATTAAACTATGTAAACTTTTTTGTACGAATACAAAAAAGAAGTGCTCTCCCATCATAATTCCATTTCTAAATTTTAACAGGGAATCACTTTAAAAATGAATGAACTAAATCATTGTATCGTTGCAAGAATTATGCATGGGGGCATGATTCACAGGCAAGGTAAGTTTCATATATGCCTTTCCTTCCTTCATTTTTTCCTCTATAGTCTAGTGCAAAAGTATTTTTATGGTCCATATGAGATACCTGTTTAATTTAAGGTCTATATAAATAATTAATTTCATTGTCTCTCTTTGGTTTTAATCACTATTGGTCTTCCTTTGCTCTTACTCATCTGCACATGCTCCAGCCTATAGATAATGGAGGGGAGGGTTATATTACAGTTCAGTTGCTGGAGCATCTCTGCATCATTTAGATCCTGATTTATCAGAGACTGTGGAAGATAAAGCATCATATCAGACCCCAGGATATGCAGAAAACATCTCTTTTGGTCTAGAAGATATATATAAAGTTAAATTGTTTCAGGGCAGGGGGAGGAGCACCCCTGAGCCCCCAAACCTGCCTGCTCTGTATAGGTTCTGCCATCTGCCGTATCAAGACAAAACATAAAAGACCTTTAATAGAAAAGATGTTAATACAATTCGTGTGCAACACAGAAAAGACAAAAAATAGTTTCCAAATCAAACCCTCGGAGTTACCCATCCCCCCGTGGGTAAAAGTCCACCCAAAGGGATTGGTCCAAAGCAAGGCCTGAAAGCTCGCCCCTAGCCTTAAAGCACCTTGTGGAGGGTCAGCAATGGCCAGACAAGTCTGGGAGGAAAAGAGCAAACTCAAAATTAAGATAAACGCTGCCATAGTGAAATCCCCACGGGTCTCTCACCCACATCTGTTTCAACCAGTCCAGAACCAAGAAGCAAGGGCAGCTTCTTCACCTGTCTCTCTGCTCCATGTGCCTCCCTCAGGGCTCCTTCTGGCCTCCATCCTGCTTCCTTCCTCCTCAGTCGCCTCTCCAGAGTCTTCTCTGCTTAGCAACACCCTCTTTTGGGTGGAGCAGGGAAGGTGGAACCTTCCCTTCTCCTGGGACCAAGCTGTTACAAAATGATAGTTTAGGAATTGTTCTCTCATTCAGGAATGAGGTTTACTATTTTTTAATTAGGAAATTAGAGTTCGATAAATAACAATATAAATATTAAATAGTCAAATAAGATATATCAAATCTATGATTAAGTTCTTACTTCCTGTGTATTAAGTACAGTCATTCTGAGGAGGGAATTCATTAAGGACTGATGTAGATGAAGAATGGTTTTTTTAAATGAAGTGGAACTTTCATTAACTTGTTGTGAGCAAGCAGGATTGGGATATACAGGTTTTGGCTCCTTTTTGAAAGGGCTGAGTTATATGCTCTGGTATTCAGAGCCTAATCCAAAAATATTTCTGCTGTCTATAAATTAGACATCCTTTATTTGAGATCAGGGTTTTTTTTTAATTAGTTGTGTAATTTGATTTTTACTAAGGTAATGTTTATTTACAACACTGTATGTGATGCAGAGGGAAGGATGCAGAGATATGGGATCTCCCCCTTCCGGTTTAGAATTTTATCAAATGCTCCTTCTTCTTCTGCTGAAAGGATCATTTGTTTTTCTCCCTGTTTATCTATGAAAGTGGTGAATGATTTTTAAAGATTTCTTAATGAAAAGCCACCCTTGCATTTCTCAGACAGATCCAGCTTAGTCATTATGTATTCTCTTTTTTTACGTTTTGCTTACTCTACATGCTAATGTTTGGTTTAGAATTTTTGTATTTACACTTATGGGCCTGACCTGTTGTTAATTTATCTCTCTTGAATTTCTCCGTCTGGTTTTAGTTTCAGAGTTACATCTGAAACTTGAAGGCCCATCTCCCTTTCATGAGTTCTCTAAAAGACTTTGCATACTACAATGATTTATAACTTGAAAGTTTGGTAGAACATGCCTTCAAAAGTATTAGCGCCTAGTGTTTTGTTTTTATTTTTTTTAGGAAAGTGTTCTCATGGTTGATATAACTTTCGATTTCTTTAACATTCATGAGGCTATGCAAGCTTTCTGTATCTTGAGTAAGTTTTAGTAAATTGCAGTTTCAAAACTGTAAGTTTTCCAAAACTATTGTAGTCTACTTAACAGTTGATAGATAAACAGGGAGAAAAACAAATGATCCTCTTTTTATTCTCCGCATCTATAATTATGTTCCCTTTATCTTTCCTAATATCATTTACATATGCTTTGTGGGTTTTTTTCCTCTCAATCAATATTGTCATGGTTTGTTCAAAAATCTACTTTGGGTTCTGTTAATTATCCCCATTTTATATTTAATTTCTATTTCATTGTTTTATGACCAATATTTATTTTCTTTTTTTCAATTTTTTAACCTAAGTTTTATGTAAAATTTTAAGTCAGATATCTCTTTGATGTAGTCCAATCTTTCCTTTCTTTCTTTCCAGTCCCGTTTTTCTTTTCTTTCTTTTTTAACATTTTAAAAGTAAAGGTTTATTAAGAAAAAGAGAGGCACCTGCATAGTCACAGGCAGGTGAGAGAGCTGTCTGTTCTTTCTAATATATGGATTTAAAACTAAACTTAATCTCTAAATACTGCTTTACTTGTATCCCACCAGTTGTGATGTGAAACACTTTATAATTCAGTTCTATGTATTTTTAAATTTATATTGCATTTTTCACTGACCTATAGGTTATTTAGAATTTAGAATTTTTTTATGTTCCACATCTAAGAGAATTTTCTGGGTATCTTTTTATAATTTACTTCTAATTGTATTGTGGTCAGAGAATGTGGTCTGTCTGACACTATTTGAGGTTTGTTGAGACTTGCTTTATGGCAAAGCACTTTAATCATTTTGGTAAATGGTCCCTGTGTACTTGAAACAGTGTTTATTATTGCATGCAGAGTTCTCTCTGTAATGGTTGGCTTCGACTTGTTGAGTTTTTTTTTTTCCCTTCAAATCTGCTGTATCTTGTTTTCTGCTTGAGCTATCAATAATTTTTGAAATATCCCATCATTATGTTAGTTATTTTTATTTCTACCTATAGATCTCTCAAATTTCACATTATATATTTGAAGCTGTTTCATTAAGTGCATAGAAGTGCCTGCTAGCCATTTCTGTTTTTTAATAATATTCTACTTAAACATATTTACCTTACACTAAATAATTATTCCAACTTTTAGTATTTTCTAGCCTGTCTCCTAGCACCCTTTTATTTCCAGCCATTTTGTGTCTATATATTTTTAGTGTGTTTCTTGTGAGCATTTCCAAAGCTAAATTTTTCATTTTTTAAAGGTACTGTAATGATCTCTATATTTTAATGGACAAGGTTAACCGATTAATAATTATTGTGATGATTTCTACCTTCTTTATATTTGTTTAACCTGTTTTTTAATTGACTTTCTTGCTTGTTTTCCATTCTTCTCCCCACCCCCCGTAGTTTAGAATATGAATACTGTGTTTTTGTTGCCTTGAAATTTTATCGTTAATATTAAACTTTACATTAATTAAACAGTATCTTAACCCCACTCTGAAAGAATACAAAGACATTCAAACACCAAATTTGATCACATTCCTGACTTATATATAGTTCTTACCCAGTATCTTAGTTTTGTTCTGGTTTAAATCTACAAAGTTGAAAATGTTATCAAAATATATGACCATTTTTATTTGAATATACATAAATGTTTATTATTTTATTTGCTTACCATTCCTTCTTGCATCTCAGACCATCCTCTGGAGATCATTTTTCTCTTCGAGTGCATCCTTAGAAATACCTTTGTGCCTTTGTTCTATTCTTGATGGTAAACTCTCTTATCTGTTAAATATTTTACTTCAGCCTCATTCTTTTTCTTAAAGATTTATTTATTTATGCAAACAAGAACTGGGGTGCAGCCAGAGGTGGGGGACTGAGAGGATTCACCAGAGACAGAGTGGGAAGCAGAACAATGGAATCCATTGAAATATACTGCTGAGGGGAGCTGCCGGCAGGTCAGGAGAGGTCTGGCACACCATGTGGGTCAGCTCGCTGGGTGGGAAACGAATTCGTGCTGCAGTGCCTTTAGCTTCGTAGTGCTGTGCTTTAACCCGCTGTGCCACATGGGAGGGCCCTTCAGCCCCATTCTTGAAGATTACCTTTGCTGATAGCACATTTTTTGTTAATGGTTACAATTCTGTTGTTTTTTTTAGCATATGCTGTTTAGCATATATTCTGTTTTCAGGAACACTGTTCACTACTGACAACCCTGTCTCTACAACTGTCCTAACTTTGTATGAGATTTCTCCTTTCTCTCTAGATGTTTTGCATCTTTGTTTTTGATATCTTATACTTTTACTACCTCCTGGCATGTATTTCTTTTTATTTATCTTGATTGGAATGCATTACTATTCCTGGATCTTTGTAATCATGTTTTCATCAGTTCAAGAAAATGTGTAACTATTAGCTCTTCAAAAGTTGTTTTTCCTGGGGCCTCCCTGGTGGTGCAGGGGTTTAAGTCTCATTGCTATCAAGCTATTGCCAGCCACTGCAGCGCAGCTTGAGGTGATGCCAGGCCAAGTTGCTGATCCACATGGCACAGCAGACCTCTCCTGTCTCACCTGCTGCTCCCCTCAGCAGTGTATTTCAATAGATTCAACTCGTCTGCTCCCCATTCTGTCTCTGGTGAATCCTCTCACTCCCCTTTGGCTGCACCCCAGGTTTTGTATGAATAAATAAATAATAAATATTAAAAAGTTTCTTCTACATGTCTTTCTGAATTTCAGTTAGATGTTTGTTAGACATTCCCTCCATATCTCTTAACATCTTTTTGATAGTTTGTTATTTCCCATCTTCCTCATCTCCTTATATCTCTGACTTGCATTCTAGTTCATTTATTTATCTGGTTACATCTTTCAGTTCATCGAAACTCTCTTCAGTCACATATGAAGTGTCCTACTCATCCATTCTTTTTCTTGTATTGAAGTGCTAGTCACATGTTCTTATTTATTTTCATCTCTATCTGCTTACACTTGTCTCTTGTTACATAATCATTCTTGAAATGGAATCCTTTGTCTTCTAATTTTGAACATATAGCTACTTTATAGTCTATCTCTGAGCAACCCAGTATCTATCCTCCTTGAGGGACTAAACCTGTTGTTTCTGATGACTTGCCTGCTTATATGTTTGGTGATCTTTGTCATCTTCTTGCTTGTTCAGTCAGTGGAAATCCTGTGGCCTTAAACTGAAAACCCTTCCTTCCAGAGGGGAGTTTGATCCTTGTTCTACTAGTTGCTGAGGAGTGGCAACTAGTACAATAAGTCCTAGACCTAACTTCTCTGACTTGCTGTTAGCTCAAGACTCAGAATTCAACTAGCAGACATTGCTGCTGTGTGTTCGCCCTTCCCAGGAACAGACTCCACCCTTGTTTTGCCAGCACTCAGCCCGGTTCCCTGGTGGAGGGGGTAGGGCAGGAGCAAGAAGTGTTCTCGGACATTTGTACTCCCTTGGTGAGACCACTCACACTCAAGAGGTGTGTCCTAAGCAGGATATAATTGTGAGAAAATCTTAGAGTGCCTTATTAGCCATATTAAAAGCAAAATCCCTAAATTTTTGTTTTGTTTTGCATTGCTGTTTTTCAAACAAAAGGAGAGAAAATAAAAATGATCATAACCTGCCTATAATTATTGTTAACTCATTGCCATATTAGCTTCTTCTGTATTTGCCTGACCACCCAACCCCCTGGATTATTTTAAAGCAAATTTCCAGCATCTATAGCATTTTATTTATACACATTTTAGTACATAACTTTTTTTTTTAAAGATTTATTTGTGCATGTAGAACTGGGGTACAGGCCAAAGGCTCAGGGGCAGCGAGAGGCTTCACCAGAGACAGAGCAGGGAGCAGAACAGGCAAGATCTACGAAGTACACTGCTGAGGGGAGCAGCGGGCGGGTCAGGAGAGGTCTGCCGCGCCATGTGTTCGCCTCCTGGGCAGGCGGGAATCGAACTCATGCGGAAGTGGCTTTAGCTTCTTAGTGCAGTGCTTTAACCCGCTGCACCACCAGGGAGAGCCAGTACATAACTTTTAAAAGACACTGTGAGCTTCTTGTAGGAAGGTCAGGTAACATGTAAGTATGCGTATGATTCATAGAGAACAAATTTTTGTATAACACTCTACTTAAGTGTTGATTCTTGGTCACTTTTTCCAATGGAAGTGTTATGTTATAAAGCTCTGAAATGCTTAGCAAACTCTTATTAAAAGGTTGCATTATATTTAATAAATAAGTTGGTGTTACATAGGTATTATCATATCATACTTTGAAAATTTACCTCACGTTTATAGATAATAATTATGAAAATATTAGCAGACACTTACCTGGTGCTTGCTATATGCCAAGAACAGCTCTGCGCCCCTCTTTATGTACTGAGCTAATTTCATCCACAGGTTTCAGCCACCTGTGAAATAGGTAGTCCTTTTTATCAATTAGTACCCATTTGTGAAAACCAAGGCTTTGGAGAGCTTCAATACCTACTCAAGAGCTTAAAACTAGTAAGAGATGGAGCTGGGATTTTTGAACCCAGACAAGGCTAGATCTAGAAATCATACTTTTAAAAACCTCTACATATTACATCTCTCAGAAAAATAGATTTTCACAGTCATCCTTCAAAATTCTGCCTTCCACAAGTAATTGTATCTGTTTTGGTGAGCTTACTAAATCAACCAAATTTTTTGTTCTGACACAAGCTATGCAACTTCTGTCGCTAGACACGGTCCAGATGGAGGGGAAATGCTCTGAAAAATCAGAATTTCCATGCTAGCTTATGTTATGACCTCCCTCTTTTGTATAATCATCAAAATATTCTAAGCAACCATCAGTTTACAACTGGATTGCCTCAGCCTCATAAGGCGCTGCCTGGCCCAGGCAAGACACACTGCCCCAGGACGGGAAATTCCTCTTAAAGTCAAAAATAATATTACAACTGGCTGATTAATAAAAGCAGTTGGCTTATAACAAAATCAATATTGTAAAACAAGGCAGTACCAGACCATGTTAAAAAATAATCAGAGTTCTTTTACTGCCCAGATGAGAACCCAAATCTTATCACTCTACTCTCATACTTAAGCTTTCTATTGCTTAGTGTTTAAATGAGGAACCTTACTATCTCTCTTAGTGATTTATCTACAAGAAAACTTCTCCACCCTAGCCCTCGACTTTACTTTACCCTCTTTCACAACTTCACCTTGACCTCACTTTATCCTCTTTCACAACTCCAACCCAGCCTCCACCCTAGCCCGACTTGACTTTACCCTCTTAAGATGTCTCAATAAGAATGAAGATCATTAAGTAGCATTTAAGGTTTAAAGGGACTTTATTTTAGCCAATCATCACTGTGGCAAATATAACAATGTTAACCTTAAATTTTATGAATTTGTGTACCTGTCTTAACTTTAATAGATTGATTTTAAGAATAATAAATGTTATACTCTCAGCTGAAGGTCAATACAACCCCAAACTGTTCTTAGAAAAAAAGGTGATTATAATCTCTCAGCCCAGTTCTTGTGCTGATGTCATCCCACTTCTTGCTCCTAATGTATAAAATAAACTGCTAAGAGCAGAACAGGAAGACTTGCACTCAACTCCAATTCCCGTGTCTTCCTTGCGCCCACTCCCCTTTTTCCCCCCTTTAGGAATCTCCGTTCCTGACGCCGCTCCCACCTTAAGAACCTGTCTGTTCTGCCCCCCAACACCTGTGATTAGGTCCAGTCCCCGACATGTTTCTGAAATATTGGCCTACAATATTTACTTAAACATTTAAAAAATACATTAGTGCCTTTGAATTTTTTTAAAGATTTATTTATGCATACAGAATTGGAGTACATGCCAGAGGTGCAGGGGCAGTGAGAGGATTCACCAGACAGAGAGGGGAGCAGAACAGGCAGCTGGATGAAGTACACTGCTGAGCGGAGCAGCGGGCGGGTCAGGAGAGGTCTGCCGTGCCATGTGGGTCACCTCTAGGGCCGAAGATCGAACTTGCACTGAAGCAGCTGTAGCCACTCATTGCGCCACCAGGAAGGACTTGGTGCCTTTGAATTTTATAATTATAAAAGTGCATATTGTTTCACAGTTATAATTCTGTGCAATCTCTTAGGTACACTTCATGTCGGTGATGAAATTCGAGAAATCAATGGAATCAGTGTGGCTAACCAAACAGTGGAACAGCTGCAAAAGATGCTTGTGAGTAAATTAAAGTTTCTTTTTCTTTTTTAAGATTGACTTTCAGTTGGTTAGATTATTTTTTTATTCAAAGATTTATTCATTTGTGCATACAGAACTGGGGTACAGGCCAGAGGCTCAGGGGCGGTGAGAGGCTTCACCAGAGACAGAGTGGGGAGCAGAACAGGAAGATCCATGAATCACATTGCTGAGGGGAGCAGCGGGCAGGTCAGGAGAGGTCTGCCACACCATGTGGTCACCTCTGGGGCAGGCGGGAATCGAACTCATGCAGAAGCGACTTTAGATTCTCAGTGCTGTGCTCTAACCCGCTGAGCCACCAGAGAGGGCCTGGTTAGCTTATTTTTAATGCACAAATAAGGGGTATTCTTTTGTAATCAGAGTATTTCTAGTACTATCATTTGTGTGGACTTAAATTTATGCAACATTCCTAAAACTTGACAGCTGAGAAAACATTTCCATGCAATAGCATTTGGAAACATTTTATCCATCCTTAGCAATTTGGAATTTCATCATTTATCTGCTATTTAACTAGAATATGTTTAAAAATAACCTTCCTAGCTGTAGATTGAACCAGTTTCTCACGGACCTCAACTCTGCTGATATCAGCATGTCAGCAACCTCTTTCCTGTTCAGCTGAGTCATAGACAGCTGTGTGGATTTCTGTACACTACCCAGGGAAGGGAAGTCTTAGAATATCAGGCCATATTCTGGACTATAGATACTCAAAGTCTGTGTGCAAATTTAAAAAAAAAAAAAAAGGCGGAACAGACCTTGCCAAAATTCACTATCCTAGCAAGCAAGGGGAGATGTTCTGGACCTCTGATTTAGATCCTCTTCCCACTGCAATGTGAAAATTGTTGAGTATGAAATAAGGAACATAGATTCATTACAAAAAAAATAAAGTAAGTCCAAAGTTATATGAAGTGTACCATCATAATCTAAATTACTCTGTTTGATTCCACTTATATTCACTTTTCAGGGCCTGTCACTCAGAAGTTTCCCTTTCCATGTGTATAAAATGCCAACCTTTGGAGGGCTATTATACATTGTTAGAGGAATAAGGCCTTGACTTGGCAGGGCTTTTCCTAGGAACTTGTGCTCCTGTGAGCCGTCCCTGCTTTATAAATCGGTTCTGTTTAGGCCTGTGTGCTGTCTTGCACGAATTGCCCCCATGCATTTTGAGTGGTTTCTTACGTGGTTTTGTATGCAACATTTGTTTGTAAAAGAGCTCTCTTTTTTCTGTTCCAACTCCAGCGAGAAATGCGGGGGAGTATTACCTTCAAGATAGTGCCAAGTTATCGCACTCAGTCTTCCTCCTGTGAGGTAATGGCTCTAACCAACCACCCTATCTCTTCTGGGTCCTAACTAACTGTCTGCTGATGGCTGAATGTTTTGGCTTTCTGGGAAATTGTTTCTGCCTGTGCTGTTGATTACTGCACACCAATTTTACAACAAAGATAACGGAACAGAGTAGGTCCCATCCACCTACTCAGCCCTGCTTCCATGGGGATCTCCTCAGCACTTGAACTTTCTGCAGGCTGGAATCGAAGAAAAAGTTAGAGGAGATGCAGATAATGACATAAGGCATAAGAAAAACAAATAGAGTCTCTGAGGAAAAATATAAGATCATAATTGCAATCATATTTCCGGGAAGTACATTCACTTCCCTTTATTAAGAAGTCACATAGTTCTTCTTTCCAAGAATATGAGAAGTGATCTATTTCTGTAAGATAGACTTCAGATATTTGTGACAGGTCTCTAGATGAACGTTAAGTCCATGAGGAACTGGTAACTGACTTAATTAGAGCGATGTACACTTTTGCAACTTTTGCGAAGCTTATTAATTTTCAAATATTATGTGATTCATGAACAAGTAAATTTTCTTGACTAACACAACCCCAAAGTTTCTTACAATAGGCCTTGCCTGTAGCAATTGTAGCTTTTCCAACCTATATAATTCAGTTTCATTATTGGTTATGAGATGCAAAAATCTATTATTTTGCTTTTTGGAATTATAAGCTGGCATAAATGGTCACTGCACATGCAATTTGAGGATTATTTGTTGAAACTTGTTCTTTCGGGTACATCTTTAGGAGTATGTGTGTGTCAGTATGAAGTTGACATATGAAGTTTCTACAGTTAATTTTTAAGGCTGACAGGCAACTTACTGAATCTCATCTAGAAAATCGAATTTGTACTTAGAATTGGAAAGAGATATTATATTGCTTCTTCCATTCTTTATTTAATACTAGAAATTTCACAAGAAAAATCAAAGGCTTCATGGTGTTTTCTAAGCATGTTACTATTACAACATATTCAAGAATAACTTTTCTAAACTTATTCAAGCTGTATAACAATTTGTAGTTTTGTTATATATTTTTAGTGAGCCATGACAGTGGGTTTTCTGGTTTATTAGGTCTTGAGCTCCTCTTGGTGGCTTTTAATGGAACTTCAATTAACATTATATTTCAAAAGAAAATGTAGATCTGCTTCTGCTTCAGGATTCAGAGTTTTGAAATTTTTTACCTAGAATACTAACCTTGCTGGGAAAGAGGATCTCACACATACCACATACATTTTATTGAAGCATTTTAATATTCTATAATTACTGCCATTCCTCACACCATTTCTCATTGGTTGAAGAAATTTAGTATATACATTTTTTTTTTTTTTTGGTCTTTTTGGCTAACTAATCAGAAGATATTGCTGTAACAGAAGTTTCTCTTATGTTTTTTAAATGGTTGAATTAGTTGGGGGTGGAACCAGTATTATTCATGTAAATTGCACTCTTTAATTAGGACAGTCCCCCCACCCCACCTTGCCTTCTTTACCTCTGAATCGAAGTAAAAAAATGACGCTCCCTTCCTAATCCCACCCCCAACCTGTTTGGCCCTCCTGTGCTCTGCAGAAATGAAGCTTGTGGTTGGACTCTTCCCAATTAGAGCTACTTCCTAAAGGAAAATTCACTGACCACCTGCATTGCATCAACACCCCCAGGTCCTTGGTAAAAGTGAGAACTCCTGCCCTTCACCCTGGCCCTACTGACTTTAGCCTCTGAGAATAGCACCTAGAGATGGATCTTCTCACTCACTTTTGAGAAAGCTCATCTCAGGATCCTATTATTTAAAAGGCTAAAAAGTTCCAGAAGTTTTCTTTAAATCATCTAGAAAAAAATAGATGACATTTGAACATATGCACATATTTCAAAGGTTTCAGAGAACGCTATAAAACCAAAAATTCTAAAATACTTAGTTTCTTCCTCTCCTTGGTCTTATCATTAAGGCTAATTTGAACAATAAGGGAATTGCGCCTGGAAAGGATTTTGAGTTTGCTGAAGAAAATGGAGAGTGTGATGCCGAAGCATGAACCTAGGGAGGGTGGCTGCACCTCCTGCAGTCTTTCCCAGAGTGTAATATTTTTATAGGCTCCAGATGATTATTTTAATCAATCTGATCTTAAAATTAAAGGTTTCTTCTTTGGTGTATTTCCATCTCTTACCCTTATTAGCAATATTTGTCCTAGAAAGATTCTAAGGTGATTATACAACATGAGGTGCCTTTTTTAGGTTTCTTCAGCCTTTTTTGACACTTGGGTACCTAACAATTATTACTTTCAAACTTAATTTTTAATGAAAACTAAGCCTTTCATTTCATCAGCAATAATTTTGCAGTAATATTTGTTGCTTTATGATACTTGGTAGGGTTTAATATTAAGTCAGCCTTCTGGGTCTCGCTTAAAGAAAGCAAAGGTTATAGAATGTTGGAGACAGGAAAGAAACGATTACTGGCACACTCATCACAATATGTGACTCTTCAAACTGCAAATTTTTTTGCTACTCTGTGAAATCATGCAAGTAAGTCAGTATGGCAGCTGAAAACCTCAAAGGAAATGGTTGTCAGACTGTGGTTGTAACTGTTGATGTGAATATTTGTTTCTGTGCTGGTGTTCTGTGTTAATGAACCTTGTGTCTTATTTCAGAGAGATTCCCCCTCCACTTCCAGACAGTCCCCAGCTAATGGTCATAGCAGCACTAACAATTCTGTTTCGGTAAGAACTCTAGCTCCACACAGCAAAGTGTGACAATTTTGTTGGTGCCACCTGCCATAAGTGTTCTAGTTACATGTGTTCAGTGGAAATATTGTCTTCTGCCGATATACGAGGCTACTACAGCTACAATGCAGTTTACTCCTGAAAACCTTTGTCGACATTTTCTTCTCGTTAAAAATCCCTTTCATTAGTTAAATTTCGAGAAAAGTAGCTAAAGACTGCTTTGGTCATTCCAAAAAAATTTCTAGGCCACCCCACTAGTATTTATGACTCTGCTCAAACCTATGCAAAGAATGAATGTAAACTCATTGAAATTTCTAAGTACTTTTTAATTTGAAAAAGATAAAGAAAGAAATGCAAGGATTTTGCAGAGCAGGCATTTTGGGTATTCTTGGGCTTTGTAGTTGTCTATTCTGAGTGATATCAGCAACGTGTATTAGTTTCCGCTATCTAAGTTTACGAATTGGTGTGCCCTCTGTTATTGTGGTCCGTGCACATACTTTTGTGAATTATAAGCCTTGCCTGGACATGAAAAGCAAAAGGAACTGGCTTCAAACCGCACTTAAGCCACGCTGTTATCACATCTTTAACACAAAGTACTTTGTTTTTACTTGAATTTTTGTATTTTACCCTTTTTCAGAACTGTCCATTTTGGAATATAAAAAGAATTTTGTAAATGTATTTAAACAAATAGAAGCACTTATAGGTGCAGGTATGCAATATTTTGGGGTAACAAAATATTCTCTAAGTTGCTGATATTGCTGTTGAAATTATTGAGCATTATAATAATACAGCAGTATCGTGTTTTTCCTATTAATTTGCCCTTTAAAATACATCAACATTTGTATCAGGTAAAATTTTAAATAGAGATCATCTCAGATGGAATGAGATCAGTAAGAGAATTATGGAAGAAAACTTCCTATGACTTTGATTTTAAGCTTCAAAATAGACTACCAAAGGAATTACTGATTTGTAACAGTTAACATTTCATACTTTTATGATGGTGAAAATACACACGGCCATTGAAGTTTTCAAAATCTAAGTGGTTGCATTGACTGAGTTGAAAAGGGCAACAGCTCTTCTTAGTTTGGGGTTTTTTTTTGTTTGTTTTTGTTTTTTTATATAGGCTATTTCACTTGCAGTGGCTTTTGTGTTGAAGATGCTGACTTGTTTCTTAAGAACACATTTTCTCTCTGCTTAAACTTACCTGCTTTCTTCAGCTTGCTGCTAAATGGCCTGGGTTTGATTTTTTTTTTTTTTTGATAACTCAACATTTCTGAGAAATGGAATAATGTATATTATCTCTTTACAACTTAAATCTAGCTCATTTTTTTAACCATATTGTAACAGAACACACAAATTACCTTGTGCGCTTGAAAAGTAAATGAAAATTTTTCTCCTGGGTTGGCTTTATTCTGCAGGACTTGCCATCAACTACCCAACCAAAAGGACGACAGGTGAATAGATATCCTCTCTAGAAACTTCTCTAAACTGAGCTGCTAATAGCCAATCCTTTATTAACCCTTTCCATCCCATGATGTCTGCATTTTGGACCATAACATTTGAGCGTTAAGAGCTTGTACCATTTCATTTTAACACATTACACATGACTAATTCTCTATAAAGAGTTTTTCCTCACATCTTTGTAGCTGTGATGGTTATTGTAATTTCAACCTGATAATTTTATGTTGATGACTGAAAATTCAGCCTTTGGGAGGAGGGGTCTTGTAGTCTTGACTCGGGGGTGAAAAAAAAATTTGAAGTTATAAAATTCTTAGAATTCGAAGAATAACTAAAATGTACATGCTGGTGAACAATTTAAGCACTAATTTTCTGAAATTCAAAGACTTCTTAATTTGTATTTGCATGTGTATTTCTATAAGCCATTTACAATGAAAAATATGGATATAGTTATCCTGGTTTTATGTTCTTATATGCCTCTGTTAATTCAACCATGAAAAAATAAGTGCTTCCTAACACTGACTTTCCATTTGCCAGCACTTTAGAAGCATAGCTTTTAGGAGCAAATGCAGAGACTTGTTAAATGTATAGGCTGCATTTGCTTAAATAGAAAAATCACACAGTAGTTCCAAAGCCTTCAGGTTGGTTTTACAGTGACTTATACATTAACATTCAGATTTAATTTTAAAAGATAGAATTTTTATGGGCTTTTTCTTCTAGTGTGATATTAAAGAATAATCAGGCTTAAATTTAAGTTTTGCATAAATTAGCATCTGATAGAATTCACCCAAAATTTAGTGTTGAAACTGAATAATTAATACAACATTGGATTTCTAGCACCTTATCTTAAAGCATTTTGAGACCTAATAATTCACAAAATGCTGCCATATAAACCCTTGTACACTAAATGTTTCCTTGTATATTGTTTACCAATTACATTTACATATCCTAAGGTTCAGAGCCTTGAACTGTGCACATCTTAAAGCTCTGTGCTAATTTCTGGTATTATATTGGCAAAGGAAAGATTTGCTTTCTTTTTCTTCTCTCAGAAAAGTACAGTACAAATATAAAGCTTAATCCCTTTTAAAACATAAAACTTTAAAAAAAAAACTTTTAGAAACTCTCTGAGTCACATGTAAGTTTACCGACAGTGCCAGAGATCTCATAGGCACTTTATGGATGCCTACCCAGAGTTCTCCTGCTAGTTTATAGCATGTGCTGCTTTAGGGTTAAAATCTACCCTGAATGTTTATATTTGTGGCTTGAGGGCTGCCACCTGGCCTTGCCAATTTATCTATCATATCAGCTAGATATATGCAGATTTTAAGATGGTAAACATACTTCTCTAAATTATAAGTCTATTCTGTTATATTAGATGCAGAAACTAAGTCTTCAATTTTAGGAAGTATCTTAAGTGCCCCCTCCAGATAAAAGTAGTACAGATCTGAACCTTTTATAGATACAGATCAGAGGCTTCTAGTAGGAGCAGTTTTTGTGTTGTATTTCCATGCATCCGTTTTGCTTTCACCATCTAATGTCCTATGTGTATCGTAAGTGTTGCTGTGTGGTTATTAGGTTAGAGGTAACTGTTTTCTTTCACAATACCATGGCATCCTTTCTTACAAACTCCTGTTTTATAGATCTATGTAAGAGCACAATTTGAATATGATCCAGCCAAGGATGACCTCATCCCCTGCAAAGAAGCTGGCATTCGATTCAGAGTTGGTGACATTATCCAGATTATTAGTAAGGATGATCACAATTGGTGGCAGGGTAAACTGGAAAACTCCAAAAATGGAACTGCAGGCCTCATTCCTTCTCCTGAACTTCAGGAATGGTAGGTTTTGGGGTTTTGTTATTTGTTTTATAGTAAAAATGAAACTATCAATTCATTTTTCAATTGTTTATTAGTGTTTAATATCATAACACCTGTTAGATATGTTCCTTACTCTACTAGCCAAACAGAATTCAAATTAGTCATCCAAGAATTCGAAGTTGTCAGCATCTAGTGAGCTCCTACTTCTTACAGAGTCAGGTCTTCTTTTCACTTCTAAGGAAAGGAGGGTCCAGGGAGAAGTTGAAGGCCTCAGTTCTCATATCATTGTCTCTTAGCAGAGCCCTGTAACCTTTTAGAATTGCATTTTTTAATGTACCCTCTCCTTGCCCTCTGCTTGATCTCATCACCCCTGTTCTACTCCACTACAGGAGAAAAACTCAAATGTCATGATTCAGTGTCACTCAGCACAGTTGAAGATAAAATGGGTTTCACTGTTAGGAGAAAAAGCCATCAGGAGCTTTGCTCCTTACTTTGACCATTCTGTTAGACAGTTCATGTTGTCAAAAGAGGTTACAATCAATCAACCTTTAGACTAAGAGAAGAGTCACAGTTGGTACATATTTTGGTAAAATCTTTTTCTGCCATTGTTGTTATAGTTCGCTTGAGTAGAACTTTTTTTTTTTTTAATGTTGATGATTTTACCATTGTCAATACTTTGGTAACATAGCAGAAGTTTACTGCAAAAGACATAACCTTACTCTTGAGGTTTTTTTCATGTAACTAATAGCTATCAGATATCGTTGAGAGTTCACCTAGCTAAAAGACTAAAGACATTGTGTCCATTACAGCTGATTTTTTCCCCACCCATTTTCCTCACAAGATAAAGGGATTTATCAACGTACCTCTTTTGCATGATTGCCTCTTTCATCTATCCTATATTTCCCAAGAACATTTTTGAATTTAGGATGTTACAGCTAATAAGGACTTCAGATGCCATCATTTTAGACACAGAAGTGTAGGCTCAGATAGAGGAAGTAACAGTGGCCTGTCTGGCATTGTCTTTCACTGTCACAAAATGGTTTAAACCTAAGCAGGAGGAAAGTGATTTCTGAATTGTGATGGTGATGTTATTATATTGTTACTAATATTTATATATCATATGAAAGTGTTTAAATTTTGCTCTTGAATATGAGCATTTACTGAAAACGATTATGTAGATTCCCAGCCTCTTCTCTGTACTCAAATCATCTATATAAATAGTATTTTACTGATACCTAGAACTCAGTCCTCTGGAAGAATCTTGAGAAATGACAATGGAAAAAGCAGATCTGCTACTCTTTTCCTGTAATGATGGGTTAAATTATTTAATAAATCCTCCTACTGAAAAAAACTGAGAAGTACTGCATTTTTAAGGCTCTTCATTGAGTAGCTGAAAAGGTTTTGGGAAATCAGCGATCAATTTTTCTATGGAAATCATTCATAAGTATGATAAAGAAAGTACTGCAGTGCCAAATTGCCCCTTTTTGCCAGAACATTTCTGTTACTGAACACTTCTATGCCAGAAGACCAACATTAAGACCTAAGTCAATACAAATAGGATTATCTGTTAGACACCCCTACCTACATTGTTAAGACAGCAAAAGCCCTGGGTCTCCCTGGTGGCGAAAGGGGTTAAGTGCAGCATTATGAGGCTGTCGCAGCCACTGCAGCACCAATTCTATCCCTGGCCAGGGAGCTGACCCACATGGTGCAGCAGACCTCTCCTGCCTTACCCGCTGCTCCCCTCAGCAGTGTGTTTCAGTCAATCTGCCTGTTCCGTTTCCTCTCATCACCCTTCCCCCATGCCTGTGACCCATACCCCAATTCTTGTATGCATAAATAAAAAAAATCTTTAAAAAACCTGCAAAAGCCATAAGCACTGGTTTAGAACAGATAAGTATGCCCTCACTCCAACTCAAGGAGATGGTACGCAAGGCTGCTTTGTCACTAAGCAAAGCAAAAGACAAGTGTAAAGGAAAAGCACGTCTCCAGAAAACAATTATGGCCTCAGGCCCACATTGAATGAATTTGCATGCAGGCAAACATAGCTTGGGGCAGCCAATAAGTCTCCAGCCAGATACAATTTGATTTCTTTTTACTAAATAGTTCCAGATATCTGGTATAAACAAAAAAGAAGTCTCTGAAGAATAATATTCTTTATATATATATATATATATACCCCCCTGATCCTTTACACTCCTGCTATGAGTGAAACCATCGGTATTTTTCTTTTTCTTTCTGGCTTATTTCACTAAGCATGATCCCTTCCAGCTCCATCCAGGTTGCTGCAAATGGCATGAGTTTATCTTTTTTGATTGCTGAGTAATATTACATTGTGTATATATACCACATCTTGATCCAGTCAGCTATTTTTGGGCATTTGAGTTGATTCCACATCTTTCCTATTGTAAATAGAGCAGCAATAAAAATAGGTGCAGGTGTCTTTTTTACTAGGCTTCATTCTGGCATTCCTCCTACCTGTCACACACACTCTCAAAAAAAAAAAAGATAAAGGAAATTCAAGGACAGTAACCAGCAAGTTAGAATAAACTAGGTATACAAGGAAAATAACAAAACTTGAAAGAATAAAATTCTACCAAAATGATAGACAGAAGAAACAAGCCCAAGCCCACTTCATGTATTGGAATAAGGAAAGAGGGTTTGTTTCTTCAAAGATTTATGTATACAAGAACTGGGGTATAGGCCAGAGATGGGGGGGGGTGGATGAGAGGATGCACCAGAGACAGAGTGGGGGACAGGACAAGTGGAACTACTGAAATCCACTGCTGAGGAGAGCTGCGGGTGAGACAGGAGAGGTCTGCTGTGCCATATGTGGGTCACTCCCTGGCCGGGGAACTATGGAGATCCATACAATGGGATGCTATTGAAGCAAGAAAGAGGAATGAAATATTGATACACACAATAGTATGGATGAAAGTCAGTCATTATGCTGTATGAAAGTAGTCAGGCAAAAAGGATATACTTTAAGATTCCATTTGTATAAAGCTCCTGAAAATGCAAAACAACTCTAGAGTGATAGTGGTTGCCTGAGAATGGGAGAGTGAGATAGGGATTGCCTTGGGGCATAAGAAAATTCCTGTGGTGATGAAAATTTCTTTTTCTTGATTGCAGTGATGGTTTCCTGGCTATACATATGTTACCAGGCAGGGTGAGAAACACCCTAAAACCCCCAAACCTGCCTGCTCTAAATAGGTTCTGCCATCCACTGCATCAACACAAAACATACTCTAGTGCATTAAAAAAAATAGAAAGAAACTTGAATACAATTAGTGTGCAAAAAGAGAAGAAGAGGGAAAGACAGAATATAGTTTCCAAATCAAGCACCTGAAATTACCCATCCCCTCATGGGTAAATGCCCAGCCACACAGGGTTGGCCCAAAGCAGGGCCACTGAAGCCCAAATCTTTCCACAGGTCTAAGGCACTTTCTGGTGGGGACCCGTAGGAAATGGGGGGAAGGGACCAGACAAGTCTGGAAAGAAAAAGAAAAACCAAATCAAGATAAACACTGCCATTGTTAACCTCCCCACAGTCCCTCACACTGATTCAGGGGTCTCCTTCCCTGTCCCCCAAGTCCCTGGTCCAAAGCCGAGAAGCAAATGCAACTTCCTCACATGTCTCTCTGCATGTGCCTCCTCCTGGCCTCCTTGCTGCCTATCTTCCTTCCTTCCTGCCTTCGCTCCTTCGCTCCTTCAGTACTTCCTTTCTTCCTCCCTTCCTCTGGTCTCCTCCAACTTCTTTCTGCTCAGCTCCATCCTTCCCTTGGTGGGGCAGGGAACCTGGCACATCCCCTCTCCCTGAGGACCACCCTGCTACAAGAACTCATGAAATATTGATAGTTCTCACCATAATAAAAAAAACAATGCTTCTAAATTAACTAAATTAGAGCTGAGAAGTTCGGTTCATCAAAAGTTACCATAAGAAGAGGAAAAAGGCAAGTAACCAAGTGGAAGAACTTATCACTAGTAGGTCTAATATCCAGACCATACAAAGAATTCCTACAAATCAATGAGAAAAAAAAACTAGATAGGAAAATGGTCAGTGCACACTTGCTGGAAGAAGAAATCCCACAGCCATATAGAAATATAAAAAGGTTTTGTTCACAGATAAGCCAGAAAGAAAAAGAAAAATACCAGATAGTTTTACTCTTAGGAATGAGAGGATTCAAATAAGAGATGGGCGGGGGGAAGAATAATTATAGTAAAGTGAATATCAACATCAACAGGCAGCTATAAGCCAGAGACATTCTGCAGGCTGGGAAGAGGGACAAGGATCAAAACAGGGGAGGGAGGAGCACAAGGAACTCTGGTGAGGGTGCACAGGCCGGTGAATCAGTAGTGGGAATTTCTGGGGACTGGAACCGGAATGAGAAAGCACACATTGTACAAAAACAAACAAGCAAACAAACAAAAAAACCCCGCACTTCTGGCCTATACCCCAGTCTTTGTATCATAAATATATAAATCTTTTTGAAAAAAAAAAAAAAAGAATGTAGTGGGAAGAGCATGGGCTCTGGTGCCAGACTTTCTTCACTCTCCTCTGATTAGCTGTGTGACTTGAGGCAAATTGCTTAACTCAAATCTGCAGTCCCCTTCTCATCTGTAAAGTGGTGGCACGATTGCAAGCGTTGTTAGGAAGACTAAATGAGTTGTTGCATGTAAGTTTCCTAGGAAAACACCTAGCACTAAGTCGGTTAAAGCTAAGGCGTGAGAATTCAAACCCTGCCCAGCTCAACTCAAAATCCCATGTTCCTTCCACTATACATCACGACACTATGTTTAGGTTTCTCAGCTGTGTTATCAGATAATGTATGTTCAGACCATACACTGTCGTTTTATTCTAACCCTATGTTTTTAAAACTTTTCTAAGAAATTATCATGAAAGACAATGAACAACCTTTATCTGAGTCATTTGAAGGTTGTAGGGAGTAGGTTCATATCAACTCTTCAAATGAATGGCTTTTCTCTTTTATCAACATGAAACTATACTTCCGTTGTTTCTTTCTTTACTAGGCGCGTAGCTTGCATCGCTATGGAGAAGACCAAACAGGAGCAGCAGGCCAGCTGTACTTGGTTTGGCAAGAAAAAGAAGCAGTACAAAGATAAATATTTGGCAAAGCACAATGCAGGTAGGGAAAAGAAGAGCTGTTACAGAAGGGGGTTAACCATCTCGAAGGCCAAAATAGATGTAATGTCTCAATTTATTCTTCAGAGTTCTCTACCCAAACATTTTAACACATGGCAGCCGCATCAGCTTGCAAAAGCTTTAAGAAACCCCTAATTTCAATTGTTATGGTTTTTGGCCAGATTTTCAGTTATACTTTACAAGAGGAATCTACTATTTGAAAATAGTATTCTCCGTAACTATAAGAACCCAGTACACTAAGTCCTTTCCTGAGAACAGAGAGTTTGAGATTTTGTTCAGTTGCTAGGATTCTTGCCTTTCGCTGAGATTGTCATGAGCAAATACCCTGGCTCCTGGCTCCAATCCGGTCTCCTCACATGTTCTGTGCCGCACTTCTAAGGGGAAATGTGTGTTCTTAATAGAAAGCTGTAGTACAGCTGGCTTGGGGCTTGGTTTGAAAGAGCACAAATGACATTGAATCCTAACTTGGTTGAGTTGGTTTCTGGAGGTAGTCTTCCTCCCAGAGTTCCTTGGCCCTCCAAAGACCAAGACCATTGTGTTGATCTTCGCTTCATGTTATGTTTGTCTATATGGGAGCTTGCAGTCAATTTAAATCAGAGTATTTGCTCATTTTGCTAAAAACTGAAGTACATACCTGTCATTGCAGGAGAATTTCCAAAATTCAGTGTGTAACTTAAAATGATGATATGCAAAGGGGGGGGGTTATTTTCAATAGCTTCTTGATAACATCACTCTTTCTATAAGGAATTTTTTCTAGGGAATTGAAAGCCCCAACAGTGTCATGAGAAAGTTCCCAAGGTTTCAGAAATAATTTCAAAAATCAAATATGTAGCCAAAAATAAAAGAGAGAATGAAGTCATGACGTGTAATTGTGCATATCCAACTTCACAGCCTTTACTTAACAAATATGAAGTGCATTTTCCATAGTATGATATGTATTATTAGAATTCACTAAGAAAATTTATTTAGAAAATCTGAATTGACCATTTTTTTAATCAGAGTTTAAAAGTATAAACATTTTGAAATACTGTATAATGTGGAATGAATGTGAGCAGCCAGGTGGGTTAAAGTCTTTCTTTTCGGCAGTGTACCACGTTTTTATTTCCAATAGTGTATCTTTATCTTTTCTGATTTTATACCACTGCAAAGAGGCAGTCTGGTTAATGGCACTTTTTGGCTTGTTTTATAATGGGAAGAAATGTTTAGAGCAGATCAGTTAAATATAATTTAGTGACTATTAATTTCAAATGCTCATGCAGTAATATTTGAAGAAATTCACTGTAGTATCACAGGATGGTGTTTAACACTCTGTCAGTAGTTATTGCTAAGTTCTCTATAAGGCACATTTATTTCCATCAGCTTCTAGAAAATTCAACAAATTAGATGTGTTGACATGGATAGATGGATAGATAGATCACCTTATAGTTTTTACAATAATTTTAAATGATATCTAGTGGAATGGAAATTTAAAACTAAAAAAGCAAAGAACTGAATGGTGATTTCATCATTAGCTTTATAGTCTAGCAATGGAAAGCATGTAGACAAGAGTTTTTAACTGCCAACGTACTTTAATTCAGCTCTGATGAAAAATAAGCCAATTGATTGAAAAAATTAGAATCTTTCTGACAAAGAAATCAGTTGAATCATTCACCTAAGAATTTTGTCAAAGAATCAGCATCTCATCTGGCAACTGATGTATTCCATCCTTCCCTTTTTATTTTTTTTGGCAAGCAAAACATATTTTTTCAGAAATAAATATGACCTCATAGTTTCCTAAGGCTAATAAAACATTACACTCTAACATTAATATTGGAAACAACAAAATTTTATGGTTAAGACAATTGGTGTACGAGTCACTAAATCTAGGTGTTTATCTAGACTTACCTAACTTACCTGGTCATATGACCTTGGGAGTGCCAGAATAGATACTGCTGTTCCCATAGGAAAGATTTTTTTTTTTAAACTAAGGTTCAGAGAGCTGATACCACATGATTCACTTTTCCATATTTGGTCTATGGGGCATCACTGATCTTCCATGGTTTCTTTTTCTCTCTGACCCGTCACAGGTGGTGCTCAGTAGTTCACAAATATACCTGTTAAGGTTAACAAGCAACTAGAAACAGGCCAGCAGTTACTACACCTGACTGTGGGACTTGGAGAAATCCCTTGGTTCCTATTGGCCTCAAACCAAGGGAATCAGATTATTCAATCAAGGGTATCTTTTCAAACTCTACAATTTAGTGGATCCCAGATTCTTTTATCACTGGACATGACAAATGGCTATTATTTTGTAAAGCCAACTACTCTTTATTGAGGTAGCATTAGTTTACAACACTGGGTTTCAGGTGTACAGTTTCTCACCTCAGCAACTGGATATATCACCCCACCCCCACCCCCAAATTTTCAGTCATCCCTTATCACAAACTTCAGCTCTGTTCAACATTGCCTATCAAGTTTAGAGAGTGTCATCTTTGACATAGAAAGCAAGAACCTCACAGCAATGGAATAGAATTGTTTTTTTCTCTGTTGTCTGTTGACATGCTTCCTCTCCAGGATGATGGACCTAAGTACTCAAACAGAACTAAGAAGGCATGGGGGTGGGGTGGCACAGGGGAACCACCAGCAATTTTTTTGTTATCTTCAGCATTTTCTTAAGCAATGGCTTGTTGGGCCTCAGAGCCTGCGTCCTCATGCTTGTGGTGACTTCCACATGTCAGCAATTGTCACTGCACATAAGACTGTCCTTTCAGAGCCTTTGATAGAACATCTGAGCAGCTGATGAGGTTCTTGCAGAGCTACTCAAATTTCTTTCTTTCTTAAAAGAAAACTTATTCATTTATACATATAAGAACTGGAGTACAGGCTAGAGGTGTGGGGGGAGAGAAGATTCACCAGAGATAGAGTGGGGAGCAGAACAGGTGGATTGACTGAAATACACTGTTGAGGGGAGCAGTGGGAGACAAGAAATCTGCTGCATCATGTGGGTTACCTCCCTGGCTGGGGTAGAACTCAGACCACAGCGGTGATAGAGCTGAGACTTAACCGTGAGGCCACAAGGGAGTCTTCTCAAGTTTCTCTGTAGAACTTATATTTTGGCTTATGTGTGATTGTCTACTCAGAATGTCACTGCTAGGGTTCCTTCCCCCACAAGATCATCACTCATCAGCTCTAAATTAGTTTTCCTGATCAGGAGATGCCCAGCTTTTTTCCTGCCTTTTCTTAAATGCACTGCTTGGCAAGGTCTTTCTGTCACCATCTCTTCAGATATCTCCCCCTTTACCAACCAACTCTTCTGTAATGTTCCTTATAAAATCCAGAAGAACCATTTGCTTAGAGCATGTATTTAATTCACAAAGGATGAAATTGTCAGAAAGAGAAGTTAAGTATTTCATTGGCCATTCTCCTTTTAGCTATGATGAGTACACATTCCCGTATGCAGCACTGCCTATATAGAGAATTACCCTAAAATAAAAATAAATCACTGATAAGGCAGGTGCTTTCAGAGCATGAAATATATTCATTAATACCTAGACCTAGCCAAATGGTCTCACGGACCACAAATCCAACATATTTCTAAAGATTGTCCTGGCCTTTTCAGAAGTTCATTGCAAAATACATTGAAGGACATTTTATAGTACTCAGTAAATTAAAACAAGCATCGCATGGTTTTTTTTCTACTTCAAATCTTTGAGACTTCAGCATGGCTCTGTATCTATGATGGCAAGAATCAAACTTTGAAGTTGTTAGAGTATAAGTAAGGGATGAGAACTTTTGATATCTACAACTGATGGGAATGATAATACCAGAATTAGTTATTTCTGTTTTGTCACCAGAAATCTCACGTGTCTAGGTAAAGCAGGATTCTATTCAAACCACATTGCCTCCTACACCACACATTATAGAGCAGCAGCCAGCTAACTGACCCATAAACAATCCCCCATACATCACAGTGTTTAAAACTATTTTAATCTTTGAAAATAAGATAGTTATTGTAAAAATCTAGGTTTCTGACTTAAAAGAACAGAGAATGTGGTAACACGAGAGGCACTTTCTCTCTAGCAGCTCTGGGCTGGTGATGTTCCTTTTGGATGGACACCCTTCCTCTCGGACCCATTATCCTCACCCGTCCATTCTTTACTTTGCCTGCTTATTCAAACTCATCATCTGCCTGGCCACTGCAGTACTAGTGTGTGATGCTTTATTTCTAATCAAAGGTTTTATGGTATTTGAAGATATGTGTAGCTAAGACAAGGTATCAGAGTTTTGTTTTTTAATGGAAGTGATTCAACTTCAAAGTACTTATATAAATAACTAAAAGTATGAAATATTGAGTAGCTTACCAGATAGTCTAATACCATGAGCAAGCTGTGCCAGACAGTGTTTCTGAAGCCTTGGGAATAGATTTGATTATGGTATGTATAGTGTTTACAGTAAATATATTTTCCACAATGCACAGAAGGTTTTAGCCACATAGATACAATGCAACACTGCTAGAATTATGTACTCTTGAGGTACTAAGATTCCTCCACCCTAGGATCTCAAAGGCATTTTATGATCGTTGCTAATGTAAATGTGTTTTTCAAAAAAGTCTTCCTTCTTTTTTTTTTTTTAATGTTAGCACCCTAAGCGGTTGCATGTAAATATCCTGAGAAACCCTATTGGCATACATACATATGACCATAGAGGATTTCTGTAATACCATTCATTCATAGGTGTGTTTAAGTTAATGCCACAAATTAGTACTGTTGACTTTAAAAGCTACTACTTTTTTTCTATAATACAGAAAACTCTAAAGACCATAAAAAGTGACCCATAATTGCACTGCTATTTAACAAATAAAAAACAAGAATAATAGGTGCACATGATTGGAGAGTTCAAACAACAGAGGGAGGTATAAATGACAAGGAAAAAGCTACTATACCTACTATCTCTAAAAAAAGACTTCTTGTAACTATTCCCAGTTGAAATTTTCTATGCATATGCTAGCATTAAAGTCCACTGGATTTTATATAAGGATATATTGTTGAAGTTTTATTGAAATGAGCTTGTTTCTTAATGTGATTTATTTGCCTTGTGTTTAGAATATTGCATGGTAAAATTTCTTTTGTGCATATTATACTTTTATTTTACTAATATATTAAAAGCCATATTTCAATGACCCCTGTACATTTTTCATGCCGTCTTACTCCCAATGGCTTCTGTGCATGTAAGTAACCTGTTAAGTGACTATGCCTCTTTGGTTTCAACTGTTTCCTTTCATTAAGTCTTTTATTTTTAATCAATAAACAACTTAAAACCTTTGAAAGTTCAGTCTTTAAGTCGTCTCCTCATACTCTTTTTATGTCTTAGTTTTTTATTACTTCTCAATCCTATTAACATGTGGCAATTTCATTTAGACCAGAGTAACCTCTTCATGCTACTCATATGTGATTAAGACATTGATGTGTAACATAACTGTTCATTTGTTTGTGGTGGTTGTTGTTATCTAACTCATCCTTACATGTTTTTAAAAAATACTTCTTAATTCAGTAGGATTAGAGATAGGGCTCTGTATTGGGAGAGGGTTGTGTAGATCATTCAGAAAACTTGTTCATCATCATCTTGCTTTTTTGTGAGATGTTTGATTATTTTTATATATTAAAGTATATCAGCTTGTTGATGCACCTCTCTCATAAGCAGATTTTTCCTTAGTGGAAATAAAAAGGCAATGGGAATAAAAATCAATGCCATAGCACTCCTGCTTTTATTCTTGCAACCTTCATCAGTGCATTACTACCAAAGCATGACTAACTAGCACTGCTGCACATAAAACCTCTTGTTCACCTTGATTTCGTGTGTCTGCCATTCTAAACACAGAGAATGTTTCTGGGTTTTGGGCTGTTGCAAGATAATTTACTTTGAAAACTTTTAGTGGACCTTTATGGGATCAGATTATCAAGAGAAAACAAATGCAAAAATACCCATTAACATGCACTAATCCTTATTTTAACATAGTGCTTTTTTTTTTTCAACATATTGAGAATGATTCTGTTTGTTTGTTTGTTTCTGATCTGTTGCATTCTAAGGCATCCTATTTTGCATTTTGAGGTTCTTTGCTACTGGGAAGTTCACGAATGTTAAGGACAGAGCAAATACTCAAAAGCATTTCACCATCTTGTCTTCCAAGAGTAGAAGTTTCTCTTAATGATTGACTGAAATGTCCCAGATTCCTTTATTACACCATGGAATCAATTTCATTAATTTTATTTCAGCCCCTCTAAAATCCAGAGCTTATTCCCATATTCTTTTAAAAATAAATGTCGGTGTATGTCTGATATTTGGTTATTCCCATGCAGAAAAATAATACAGGAAACAGTTGCATGATGTTAGCATTCTTGCAAGAATTTTTAAATGCATGTGAGAATTGGACCATCTTGAACTTCAAGAGGGATGGTCATCCTCTCAGGAAACTTTTTGTAATGGTTTTGTCAAGAGGCAGATTTCCAAATATGTATATATTTAAGTATTCAGTCTGTAGTGATTAGAGAACTCCCCTTTTGCAAAGGTTTCCAGGTTTAGGCTATTTCATACAACTTCCCATCGGTCCATCCTGATTTACTGCACAAAAGCTCACAAAGTTTGGGCCCCTACTTGCATCCCCAAAACTTCCTCCATCCAATGGAATAGCTGGGTTACAATAAAACTTGTGAGGTGCTTGTTTCAAAATGTGAAATCATAATGTTGACTTGACTTTGAAAGAATCTAGCATGCTACCTTTAGCAATTCTCTTAAAAAAAAATGACCAGATGTTTTCATGCATCTCTCATCCATTTCTGAAATTATCTAGCTGGCCTCTCTCTTGATACTTCAGTTGCATTCATGCTATATTCATGTTGATCACTGTCTGTAGAATTTTTCTTTTTAGCATTGCTGATTTCTTAGAATTGCAAAAATATGAACAGCATGTGGTTGCAAATAAATTAATATGATTTGCTGGATACTGCATGAAAAAATATGCAGATCTTTTTAGAACTGAATTTTTATGCATGTGCTGAACATATCTTTCTCTGTTCCTAGTTCAGTTCTAAAGTGCATTTTCATGGGCTTAAAAATGAAATTTTCTCCCTAGAGTTTATATGACTTAATTTACACGTTACATGTAAAAGGTTATATGACTTAAATTACATGAAGCTATATACTGTAAGTTGGATCCATATTTTTTAAAGATATGGTTGTACTATAAGTTTAGTATTACTAGCAAAATCTACATATATGCAATATTCCTTCTATAGATTTAACTTTCTTCTAAATCTTTGCATTTTAGTGTTTGATCAATTAGATCTTGTTACATATGAAGAAGTAGTAAAACTGCCAGCATTCAAAAGGAAAACACTAGTCTTATTAGGTAAGTGTGATTGTACTAATGGCTATCTTATTCTCATCTTCAAAACATTTTGCGACTATTATTTACAACTGTCACTTCAACTTTCTTTTTAAAAAATGACATAGGTGCACATGGTGTTGGTAGAAGACACATAAAAAACACCCTCATCACAAAGCACCCGGATCGGTTTGCGTACCCTATTCCACGTAAGCAATAAATGTCTTAATCTTTTAAACACATTTTCCTAATGCTTTTTAAATATTGCAATTTACATTGTTATTCTGATTACATAAGTAGTAACTGCTTTTTTGTAGCAAATTTGGAAAGTCAAAAAAGAAGAAAATAAGTAAATCATCCTAGCCACACACCCCCAATAATAGTGCTATAACTATTTTGTTGTGTATATACCCTTCTAGGCTTCTCTTTGTGTAAACATTTGTTATAGGTGTGCATACTTATTTATTGGGGTTTTTTTTTTTAACAAAATTAGGCTCCTCCATTCTGTTGTAATTATTTCAACAGTGTGTTATAAATATTCCCCAGAAGAGTCATTCTTTTAAAAAATGGTTTTATTGATTGGGTATGATTAATATTCGATATGACAAAATTTTCTTTGGTATGACAATGCTTCAAATAATAAATACCTAATTGTTGACTTTTATCATTTAAAAACCAATGTACTCTCGGTTATTTATGGTAAAGAATCTTAAATCTGTGATATTTTTATTTCCTTACATCCTGTGCTATTTCTCTTAACCTCTTTTCTTCATTTCCTCAACTATAAAATAAAATAATTCCAGGGCTGTAACGGGGATTTGAGATCATGTGAAATACTCAGCAGATACTGGATAAATAGTAGCCGTCTCACCACTATCATTTTATTCTGATGATTATTCCAAAGTTTAAAATTTGAACCCCAGAACCTTTCAACAGAATTTTGTTCAAGGTGGGAGGAGCAAAAGGAGGTTGGGTTTAGGAGCAACAGGAGAAGTTGTGAACAGTGGCTCCATCCAGCAGGGCCTTTGCATGCCTTCTGCAGCCATGTTCGCACAGGTACCGTTTTCTGTATGCACCGGAGAGCCATAAGGCTTCACAAGACCACCCTCATCCCCAAACCTGTCTGACTCACACACAAAAAGGAAATTCATCAAACATCATTTCAGTTGTTGCCACTGGGGTTTTCTAGTGAAACACTTTTTGAAAAATGTCCTTTAATTCTCCTTATGTCTAGATCATGAGTATAGTAAGTTTAGTTGATAGTTTTTTCCCCGCTCACAAAACACTTGAACTTCTCTTTCACTAAATGGCCAATGAACTGAACTGGTTTTAAAGTGTACTGCAGACCTCAGCCATGCCGCTCTCTGAATTATTCGCCCCTACATGCTTCTATAGCGTGTGTTTAACTAATGAAATGACTGAAAAATGAACAGCATCAACATAATTTGCCCTTTCTTTGGCTTTTGATGTGCCTAGAGAAAGGGTCCCTCTTGTTAAAATTCACACATTGCTATCCATGGGCACTTGGCAACTCTAATGGTCTAGTTGGAGAGGGGAAATACAAAGAATAGCATAAAATCTGTCCTGGCTCGTGGAAGGAAAATACAAGGAAGGAAGAAGCAATTGAAAGGAAGGAAGGATGTCAAAAGAAAAAGAGTGAAGAATGGAAAAAGGGAGAGGGAGGGAAGAAAGAAGAAGAAAGTAAATGGAGGAAGATTAAAAGCAAAGTCCCTGACATCTCTAGAAAAACATTTCCTGAAGTATGTTTTGCAGAATGTTGGTCCTGTTAGTGTCCACAAAGCTAGGACTCTTTGACAGCCATTTTATCATACACTCACTTAGGTCAAGGATCAGCAACTCTTATCTATAAAAGAAAGTAAATACTTGAGACTTTGAGGACCATAGGGTCCTGTCACCATCATTCAATATCTGTGCTGTCTGGTACAGTAACTATTGAGCCCTTGAAATATGGTTAGTGAAACTGAAATTATAATTGTATTTAATCTGTATTTAAATGTAAATAACCAGATGTAGTTTTCCCATTTTTTTAAATTTTTCTTCCTTCCTTCTGCTTAAGACCTAATGCATTAAAGCAAAAATGTTTATGTCAATATTGAATCATTTAGTATCGTTCTTCTGTAGGGATGAAAATAGATCTCATCTAAACACTGAAAGAGTCACCAAACCAAGCAACTAACTGAAGGGGCCTATGGGGACTGATGTCCTACAGATAAACGGGATATCTAGAATTTAATTCTACATAACTACTGGAGTTGGGACTAGGGCGTGGGACATAGATTAAAGAATATCAAGCTCTTAAGTAGAGATTAGGTTTGGAAAGATCCACTGAGACAAGGTCATAAACTCAGCTTTTTTTTTTTTTAAAGATTTATGTATTTGTGCATACAGAACTGAGGTACAGGCCAGACATGCAGGGGCGGTGAGAGGCTTCACCAGAGACAGAGTAGGGAGCAGAACAGGCAGATTGATGAAGGACACTGCTGAGGGGAGCAGCGGGCGGAAGCAGCGGCTAGCTTCATAGTGCTGCACCTTAGCCCATTGTGCCACCAGGGAGGGCCCTAAGCTCAGCTTTCTAAACATCTCTTGACATGTGACTTTACAGATACAACCAGACCTCCAAAGAAAGATGAAGAAAATGGAAAGAATTATTACTTTGTATCCCATGACCAAATGATGCAAGACATCTCTAATAATGAGTACTTGGAGTATGGCAGCCACGAGGATGCAATGTATGGAACAAAGCTGGAGACCATCCGGAAGATCCACGAGCAGGGACTGATCGCAATACTGGACGTGGAGCCTCAGGTAATGCCCTGCCAACCCCAGGTCGCATCACCTTGCCTGCATGCTAAGGTTCTGAATACAGAAATGCCACCAGAATGGCATAAGTCACATAATAATTTAATATTTTACAAGAAAGTGTCAGTAGCGAAGGCATCCTGGGTTAACAGTCTAGAATGCAAAGTGACTTGTGATTGGACTGAGAGCACACACTGTAACTAACCAGAGATCGTTCTCTTATGAGATTTATCATATTCAAAGGTTCAGTTAAGTACCTGATTGGGTCTGTGCCTGCCGTCAATCCTGCAATAATCTGATCTCAGGATGAGACTGGCACCTTGTGATCACAACAGCCACTTTTCCTCTCTCAGTACAGCTCACGCAGGACCATCAGAGCCTCTGCCAGCATCTTACGTTACTCACCAGCGACAAACTCTGATCCTGGGCTTGGGTTTGAAATAGCGCTAGGCTTATGTAAACAAGCATGAGTAAGCCAGGAGGTATCAGCTGGAGTGGGGATGGAGGCCGGGTGGTTCTCAGCCTCTGAACACAGTTTCCTCTTTATTGAGGACAGTACCTAACCCCGAGCAAAACCTAGGAGAAGAGGGATATGGAGAACTTGAAGAGAGCCAGATGCAGAGATGATGAGATGATCTGTAAATAAGTTCTGTGCTAGAAGCAATAAGAATTATTCAACTTGCAAAACAGGAAACCAGAGACTTTAAATCACAAATGCTCACAAGCACTTTTTTTTTTTTAATCTCTGAGGACAAAATAAGCAGACATGGGAAGGACTGGGGAGTTGCACACACTGTGGCAGGTTACAAGAGAGACTTGGGTGCCCTTGTGTCGCCAGGCCTGCCTTTCCTCAGAGTGGTTGGTGCCCCCAAGCCCCTGTCACTTCTAAGTAGCTCAGCATACCCCACCTCGAGCAGGCTGTGCTTAGCAGGAGGCTTACCTAGCCAGCCCAAGCAGGGAAGATCATTGTTCAGGGGCCACCGTGTGAGACTTGGTCCCCTAGCCATCCCCCAGGTGAGGGCAGAACCTGCATGTCCAGGGTTGGTGTGTCTGGGCCTTGACAGCTCAGTGCCTGGGCTCTAAGACCCTAACCTCATGACTGGGGGGTTCACCCATTTCCGTTTCACAGCATCTGATGGGGTTCTCGACCTTGGAACTTTGGAAACGACAAGGAACCTGGTGAAGAGGCTGGGAGGAGAGCAGTAGGATGAACACTATGCAGTTTACTGAATTATTTGGACCTGTATAGAACTAAATATATGATGTGTAACGCAGATTGATTTTTGTTTAACTACGAATCCCTCCTTACTAGGGATTGGAAAAATCTTCTGGCCAGGGGTGGCTAGAGGCAAAGTCTCAATCCTGGTCCTGGTCTTCGACATCCTCTCCTTGGGTTCCACACTGGTCTTCACCTGAACGTCGTTTTCTGCTGGTAGTAATGTCTCTAGCAGTATGCTGGCTGCAGGGCTCCTCAGGCCCCTCTGCATCCCCTGAGTTCACTGTCAGGGCTTTCTGCCTTCCCTGCCGCTGCCACCGCTGCCACTGCCACCCTGCCACCATTGCTGCTGCCGCTGCCTCTCCCCCTCTAGCGTCCAGCTCTCCCTGTGCCCCCGCCCTTGCCCAGTCATGCATTGCTGTGCACTGCTGAGCGGGAGGCACGTCTCTCAGCCTTATCAGGACATCCACAGCAGTAACTTACATGTGGCACTGGGCATCAGAGCGCCCCTGGCCCCGGGCTGGCCACCTTCCCCGCTCCCCTGACTGTTGGATGAGCTCACTGCATCCTTTTGTCCTGCTTCCTGTGCCCGCCTCTCAGAACTCTGACCTCTCGGGGCCGTCTAGCCTGGAGGGCAGGCCACAGACATCCTGGTCTCCTCCTGAGCCTCTTCAGGCCATGGCCCTGAAGTCAGGAGTCACCCAGGCCCTGTTCTTCTTGTTGGTCTGGTTGACCATTCTGGTCCCAGGCTCTCTTGCCCGGGCTGCCCAGGCCTAGTTCTGCTCTCACATTGTGCGCCCGGCAGTAGAGCTGCAGACATCCCTACAGGATCCACACCCACTGGCCTTCGCCCTTGGACTTCTCTGCCTTCAGCCCACTGTCTCCCCAGGCCAGGCACGGCCCAGGTCCTGCTGCAGGGCACCTGTGGTGATGGCCAACTTGCTGTCAGGCAGAACTTCATTGCTCCAGGGAGGCTGTCCTTTCCCTCACACCCCTTCCTACCCAAGCTTGTTAGGTCCTCGGCCAGAGGCCCCTGACGGCTTGATTCTGTTGTAAGCACTCACTACAGGCCAAGTGTTGTGCCAGGAGCAAATGCTGGTATGGATGAACTCCATCCTCCACATATGTCAAAAATTGCCCACGATGGGTGAAGTACCATGTAGCATTTTTAAAATCCTCTCATTCCTGCCATGACATCACTCCCACTGTGTGTGGGCTGTACAAAGACTGGGCTGTACTTCAGCACTGGTGCTCAGCTCCCTCAGTTCAGGTTTAATACTTTCTCCCATCTTAATTTGTTTTTAGGAGGCCAAATTAAACACATATCTAATAGTACTATAAAGCACTGTGAAACCCCAAGGACTGTGGTAAAAACATTAAACTAGAAGAAAATGAATAATCTGGCTTCTTTAAAAATAGCATTAATAGGTTTTGTTCCTATTTTTCCAAGCACTAGTATATCTTACCTTGCAATCCTTGTTACGCTGAAATACGAAATATCAGCGTCCAGATTGATGAAAAAACCAAGGCTTAACACAATTGTGATTTGTCCAAGTTTTTATGGCCAATTAAAAATGAAGTTTGACTTTAAACGGTTTGGGGCTTGGGGTTTGTTTACAGTCCAGAACTTCCACTGTACCATCATACTAGAAGAGGTAACCACAGGCATCCTAAAGCTGGTCCACCCTGTATGTAATAGTACAATTGAAATTTTTGTCTTTTGTCTTAACATGTAGAAAAACCTCTAAGACACCCAAATCTGAGAAAAACTATAGCAATTATTTCTCGTGGAACTAAGGCCGTGCCTCAAAAAATAATCTACAGTCCTGAAGCTGCCTATAATAACTCTGGGTATTATCAAAACTTACCGTTCCAGTTCTAGATTTTAATTTTATTCTGATTTATACATTTGCTGCATTACAAAGTAGAAGCAGAATATCTGTGGCTTGGCTGTTGCCCAGAGAGGGAACAAGCATCCAGGGGTAGCTGTGGCCTTCCCTGGAGTCTATACTCAAAGCAAGAGCCCGCGCCTGAACCAGGGCTGCTTTGTGAAATCTGCTAGTGCTCTGATAACTGCTTTCTGCAGTCACTCTTCCTTTCGCTCTCAGGTTTTTGTACAAAATGATTCAGCCTCTTTCTCTTATATAGGTTTTAGTTCAGAAAAATAAAAAAGCCAAGTCTTAGATCCTTGGTCAATGATCTTTTATTCCTAGACAGAGGTAACCTGAGCTCATAGATGAGCTATATGTTATTTTGGCTGTCAGAACCCATCGTATTTTCAGTGCTCTTTCTAGACGCTCTCTCTCCTCTTGGATTCAGAAAGAGATGTATCCCTGTAAATCTTAACAAATTTGTACCTCTTCTTAATTCACAAGGGATGTGGGCTTAGAGGTCTTCTTAAAGTTACCTATTAATGGCTTAAGAGTAGGAAAGCCTTGTGAAGGTACTCCATTTCTCAAGGACTCTGAGCCTATGGCAAGTTAAGACTGCACCCCAAAACTGGCACCCACTTGAAACCCATAAGAAGAGCAGTTTGTAAACAGATCTTTGCAAGTATCTGAGAAGATGTGTGGTGACTCTGTTGAAGATCTGAGAGCCACTAGACAAGAAATCTTTGTTAGAATTTTAGACATCTTATAATTTCTGAAAATGCAGTGAATACGCCAACTGCAGAGGTTACTCTTGTGACTCTAATAAACATTACATTTGATCTAACCTTGCTGGAGCCAGGACAAAAAGGGAAATGTCACAGATCACGTAATTCTTATCTAATAGGAGTATAACAGCTCCTTCCTTGCAATTAATTGCTAAAGGACTATCACCTGATCCTTAGACACATTAGAGACCTTGGGAAGTGTCATGAGCACAGTCTTAATTGACAGCTTTATGCAGGAAGCGCGGAGTGACCTTCATGTCTTTCAGTTTAAAGACCGAGGGTGCGTGTTCAGCGCAGGGAAGACTGATCCGCAGAGAGCTAATGTTTTCCAAGCAGTGGGTTTTCTGGTGTTGTAAAATGACATAGCAGTCTCACATTTAAACTACTCCAAGAATCGGGTGGCTATCAGGCTGGGGTCACTGAGCAGAGAAAAGACCATTTCACGCCTGAGGTGTCATTCTCGCCTTCATCCATGGGTTCCATTCAGTGCTGTGGGGACTTCCATCTGGCGCTCCGAGTAGCTTCAGGGATGGAAGCAGGGGTAGGATCTGTGCATAGGATTTTTTGCCCACCTCAGTGGCTCAGAAGCTAGCTGTGAGTGGATGTTGGGGTGATCAGGAAACCTTATGTCTCTTTAGACCCTGTAGTCACTTCATTTATGAACACAGGAAGGACAGAAAAATGGCCAAAGATGATATTGACAAAAAGGACATTTCTAAGTGAACATCCCTGTTAAGCTCTGCTGAGCAGTAGATGAACTTTTTCATGATGTTTGTTCCTTGCTTAAGTCTTCAGTCATAAGAGAACTGGCAAAGAAGTTGTCAGGTACCTCTCTCAAAAATGAACATATACAGGCTTGAAGAGCTTTGTCACAAGGGGAAACCAAGCCTATGACTTAAAGCACTTTGATGAATAGTAGAACTGAACCAGGCTCCCTTAACCAACAAAGAAATACTATGTAACTGAAATTCAGAAACACAATCCTAGTGAAAGTGAACCTTGCACTAAACAAGAAAGTCAACACCTTTCTCCAGCCTGCCTCTTAACGACCCTGTATATTCATAGAGACCAAGAGATTCCCCTCAGCCAAGAAGGCATCGGGACTGCTAGTCCATTCTGCCTCAGAAGGCAGGATGTGTTGTGTGGAAGTTATATATCCTGCTCTTGTTTTTTTGTTTTGTCATAAAGACAGTTTATGCCAGGCGTCACATTGGGCATGAGGAGAAGAATGGACAAAACGAACAGCTCCTACAGGCACCTGTGTTTGCAGCGTAGTGGGTGCTGCGGGAATACACCAGTGGGGCGTCTGCCCTTGGCTCACAGCTCACAAAGGACTTTCCAAGAAAAGAACATCAGCACTGAGTGCTGAAGGATCACTCAGCCTGCAACTTATGATAATGTTAAAATGCAAGGCTACTTGAGTTTAAGAGGGAGAGAGGGTGTGGGAATGGGAATGGGGTGATAGAAGTTCCAACAGAGGGAATGGTAAGAAAAGGCCAGGAAGCCCGTAAGAACCTTTCTGGAAATAAGAGTAGCCCAGCTGGTCCCTGGCAGGGAAGGGGAGGAGAGACGCTGACAAGTACGCACAGGCCAACTCATGAGGGCAGGACGTGACATTTATACTGAGGCCAAGAGGAAACTGTTGAAAGCTTTGGAGCAGAGTGGGAGCATGACACAACGGGATTTGCATTTTTGAAAGATCATTTTAGTATAGACTGAAACACAGCAAAGCTGGAGGAAGAGCAAACCAGTGTAACTGCTACCACAGTAAACCAGACAAAAGAGGGAGAAATAGGAACAGAGCTAAAGCAAAGCTATTGAAAGATCATTGAGGAAGTCAACTAGGTGGAGAACAGACTAGACGCGTTAGCGTCTTGTGAGAGGACAGTGAGGTGTGACGTTCCCTCTATGCACACATCAGTTAGTGCATGTCAGGCACTTGTGAATTATGTCTGTATATCTGGGTTCTGCTGTGTGGAGGCCAATTTGTAACCCCTAGGTCTGGCATGGGCCCCAGAGGGAAGCAGATGAAGCAGTAATGCCTTAACCAGCATCAACTGCAGCATCAGATGTCAGCTTTGCAATATGTCGATGCAAACTAGTGGCTTGCCCAGTTAGACACTTTTGATGCCTGGAAAGGAACTGAAAGCGCCCTCAGTTCCCTTGAATGTTGCCTTTGCCCACAGCCACACAGCTCCTGTCTAGCTTCTCCTTCAACCCTGGGCAAAATCGCCCTTCGCTGTGAGTCCCAGGTGAGTCCCACCTTTCATGGGGCAACTCAAAAGGCCTATGCAAGTGTGAATGCAGCCTTCACATCTACACTGGCCAGGATTTGCTCTCCTTGTTACTGATTTGAAATTTAAAACGTGGTGCAACAGGCTGTTGATAAGTGGTATAGCCAGCCTGCCGGTCCAAGTCGGCCCCAAAATGCACTCCCTAGGAATTAACATTCAGGTTACAATTAACAACCAGGTTTAAAAGAACATTAGCTGTCATAATCACTGTTAACTTTTCTGAAGAAAAAAATCAGATTGGTTTATGTGATTCATAAGGAAAATGTCCAGTTTGTCAACCTTGATTTGCTGATGGCTATTGTCTGTCCTTTAGAAGTTATTTATTATAAGTTATTTATTTATAAAGTTGGTAAATTTAAGAATGCCTTGCCAAAAATTTGAACCAAGGGCTTTTTCAGTTGTGTCACTTTTATACACTCATTTAGAAGTTGTGTCAGGTACCTCTCCCTTGAAGACGTTCCCTGTTTTTCTTTGACGCAGGCACTGAAGGTCCTGAGGACTGCAGAGTTTGCTCCTTTTGTTGTTTTTATTGCTGCACCAACTATTACTCCAGGTTTAAATGAGGTAAGAATCACTCCATTTTCCCCCAGATAAACACACCCTATTTGTGTTGTACTTTTAAGAGCTAGGCCTCATCTCATCAAGTCAACAAAATGAAGTTCTGCTGTGTTCTTAAAGCCGCCCATTTAAGATTTCCAGAGCTTCAGTGTTAGGAATTAAGCAGAGAGAGGTGCGGTTTTTCTGTAATCAGACTCATTAGGCAAAGGGAAGCGATCATCTTTCAGTGTGTCTACTTGTAAAGGAAACTCCTCACCGCTGGAGATGAGACTTGCCAAGCGCCTCCCACCCTCCAGGGCTGCCAGCCCTCTCCCTGCCAAGGATTGCATTACCCAGAAAAGCCATAAGAAAGAAATCCATGATTTTGACCAGGCTTCCCAGGGTCCCTAGGCAGCCTCTGAACTGAAACCCATTTAGAGTTTCCATCTTGGCCCCTGGAGACTTCCAAACCTAGAAATAAGCTCCGTCCCTTCTCAGGCCAACTCAGATCAGCAGCTGCTACAGAGATGGTGCCTGCCAGAGCAGGCTGCCTCAGCTCCTACCAGGCTGACGCAGAAGGCCTTCTACTGCTGGCCACGTAAGGGAGTTCGCTGTCTGGTGGAGAGCTGGCGCCCTCTGCCACTGGGGTCCTCACTCACTGTGTCCTGAAGTCCGGTACTGCTGTGGGGTCTAGAAACCACCAGAGGGCTCTCGGCTCTGCTCAGCAAACATTAGTCAGGAAGCCCAAGTTATGACAGTCCAGTGAAGGTTTGGGAATTCTCACTCTCGGTACCTTTCCAGGAAGATTAAATATTTAGATTTCTATGTTACGCCCATTTCCCATCACGGTTTTTGTCATTTGTCATGTCGTTTGCAAAATGTATTTTCCTTTGTAAACTCTACTTTTCCATCTTATTTAACATACAAACCTGTTAGAAATTCCACACTGTGCTTAGTTCTTATCCTTTTGTTGCCATGTATTTTTCTTGAATTATCATTTTGCTTTGTTTTTGTTTTTTGCCTGTTTTCCTACCCTTTTACTAATTTTCCAAAGCTGCCAAAATGGTGCAGAAAGCTGCCTGTAAGTACCAGCTAGGAGGTGATGAAGTACAGCCTTGTGTCTTTAGAGATTTAGAACGTAGACATTTTGTTCCCACAAATCCTTGCTTTTGCTGTTAGAATAAAGGCATTTTGTTTTCACTGAGTTCAAGCCTGCTCACGTGTAAATCAAGCATGCAGACAGCTGTTGTGGAGGAAGACAGTGACAAATATAGCTTCATCTTCTAAGAGCCGTAAGAGGGAATTTTATTTTTCTGTAAAGAGAACGACATTAAAACTTGGATACTTTTAGTCTTAAATCTTCTGGAATGTTTTCATCAGCTCAGATTTCTGAGCAAGTCGTTAACTCTGCTAGTGGTTTTTGAAGCCCACCATCATTCTAATATCCCCCCTGCCCCAGAGAGTGACATGGTGGGAATTGTTTCCTTCTCCTACTGGCAGGAAGCATCCTGTGTTTGGGTAAATGCATGTTTCCTAAACTGGGGTTTTTGCATCGTGTTTAGGGTAAAGCAGAGCTACAGTGAAAATGCTATGCTTTTTAAGCACGAGCAGAAAGTGTGTTGATGTGACCCGAGAAGGTGATCCTTAACTGCGGCCCTGTCAGTGCACCTCACATCCAAAGCCTGCTATGTCCTGCTTGGAAATTTCTGTAAATAACGAAGCAGGCAGGACGCTCTTGTGTCCTAGTGTCCCCACAGGAGAGATTGAGTTCCCAACGACAGAGGTGTCTGTCCCTCCCGACTGCGGTGCCATGCTGTGATCAATCAAGGGTCGTTACTTCTCTTCAGATGCCTGTCCAGAGAGTAGTCGCACCCAAGGCCAGGGCTAGTCACCAAGAGGCTCTTGGAATCAACAGACATGCCTCAGGGAAGAGGAAGATCCTGCCCGAGCACAGGCACCTCACTACTCAAGTCCCTGAAGGGCCTGCCTCTTTTTTTTTCCCTTGAGATCTGTCTCTGTCATTGGGGCCCCATTTTCTAATAGACATGCTGTGTCTCTTGTTTATAGATCTCTTGTTTATACTCATCGAATCCTGCGATGGCCAATATCCGTCAGCCAAATGCTTATTCTATCAGCAGTAGCATTTATTAAGCACTTACTGTGTCCAAGGCTCAATGCCAAGCGCTGAACCAAGAAGCAACAGAGCAGCCGAGACAAGTTTGCTGCTTTAGTTGAGGAGCTACAAATCAAATACTTAATTGTAGCTATATGTAATTATATCTCACTTAAGATATAATTAACTGCATCTATATTTAATTCTATCAACATAGATTTAAGACTCTCCACATACGTAGTGTTCAGGAGTAGTTTTGACTCAAAGTTGCCGAGTTTTAATTGAAACTTGTCCACTGGGACTTCAGCATGGCAAGATTTGAAGATGCAGACATTTTGGTAACCCCAGAAAAACCCCTGTCTTGAACGACCTGCCATCCTACAGTTCACGTTACACTCTTGACAAACTGAGGAGCCCGAGTCCCCTTCTCCTCTGGGCTCCCCCGGCAAGTTCTCAAAATCTGCGGCAAGCAATAGGAGTTGCTTGCAGTGAGCGACCTTTACTGCAGCAAACCTCCCTAGAGTTCAGCAGCTCCTTTTCCTTCAGACTATTTTCCCATAAGAGAGAGACACGAGTGCTTATGAACAGCGCCATTTGTCTGATGGTTTCCAGTGCAGACCAATTTAAAGGGATTCATCTGATGCCAGTTGCCATTGTATCTGGAAGATGGCCTTATTTCACCCATTATTTGTAACACCCAAAAAGCTTTTTCCTCTGGCCTCTACTGCTATTGACTGAAGGCCTTTATATGTAATTGAATTCCTGGAACACATTGAACCTCTAAGTAGAAAAGGGAATAATACATCTTAATTTGTTGTCCAGAAGAAGGGATTTCTTGGTGCAAATGCAGTAAGCCCTGGAGCCTGGAGCAAGTAAATGCAGAAGACCCAGGGGCGGGGCTGAAGGGCTCCGGCTTTCCCACCAAGCCCTCTTGCCAGGTGGGAGCGTGGCTCAGACCGGGGCTAAAGGAAGAGCAGGCGAGTAGGCTCAGGGACTGGGCTGGGGCTTGTGAGTCCCCAGCTGACCCTGGGACAGGCACTGCCGCGCCTGGAAGAGGCGATGTGTTTGCTGAGGAGTGTCTGTTTTGTCTGGTCTGTGTGGTTTGGTGTGGGGCCCCTGTTGCATGTTGAGCGGCGGCGGTTGAAAGCAGCAGTTTCATAACTCTGCCACCCCCAGAGACCCGCATCATCTCTGTCGTGAAGCCGACTAGGCCTCGGGACAGATGCAGCACATCAAGGTTTGGCCTTGACTGTTTCTGACACTGGGATAGACAGAAATAGGAAAGAAGAAAGAACCCAGCTGACTCCTCTCTTCTCTTTGCTTTTCCTCCCTCCACGCCCACCCATCCCTCCTCCCCAACACCACTTAGGATGAATCTCTTCAGCGTCTGCAGAAGGAGTCCGATATCTTACAGAGAACATATGCACACTACTTCGATCTCACAATTATCAACAATGAAATTGATGAGACAATCAGACATCTGGAGGAAGCCGTCGAGCTCGTGTGCACAGCTCCACAGTGGGTCCCGGTCTCTTGGGTCTATTAGGCCTCTTCCCAGATCTCTGATGCATAACTGGGAGCCACCTCATACCTGGAAAAGCCTCTTTGTTATCGGCCTTGTGTCAGCAGGTCATGGTCCCTAGAGACTACCTAGTTGTAGTGTGACCTACATTTATAATTATTGTCATGTCCGAATAGATAGGAGGAGAAAAACAATTACACACTAATTTAAAGAGACAGTATCTTTTTTAATCAGTTCTCCTAAACTTTAATAAAATGTATCTTTAAATGTATGTATTATTCAATCCTTTGGAATGTTATATTTTTGGAAATCATAGCTTTTTATTTCCAAGGCCCCTAAAAACTGCACAAAATAGATGCTGCTTTCTATAATCTATTTTAATAATAATAAACAATGATTCTGTTACCTTGACTGGGGGTGGAACACTACATTCTTTTTAGAGTCTGATTTTATGGGTTGGAATATCTTTCTTTCCTTTATTTATTTGAAATAATCAGTCTAGTGATTACAAAACAGTCATAAATTTTTAAAGGCCTTTTTTCTCTCCTTTTTTTTTAAATAGTTATTTTTTTTTAAGTCCTTAATGTAACATCCAGATAATGTGATACTGTCTCTTTGAAGCACCCTGTAAACCTTTTAGAGATTTGAAGTTGGGTCTTGACTCTTAATGCATGTGGACAGTCGCGAGCGTTTATGCTGTCGGTGTGTCTGTGTTGGACAAAACAGTCTGTAATCTACAGCAAAGTACATTCCGTTCACGGGGCACACCCAGGGGAATAAGAATAAAATGCTATATGACTAAGTTGTAAACCTATGCACATCCCTTGCATTTCGGGCAACTTTATAAAAAAAAAAAAAAGAAACTGATTTTTATTAATAATAATCATGTAGTGAGATGTGTTTGTAATTTTGTCTCAATTTAATTTGTTGTAAGGTGGGAGGGGGAATTGCTGGTTTCACCATTTCAGATCTGTGTTGTCTGAGAGTATTAACGTTTTAATTAAGCAGAGAAATGAGGATTTTTAATATGTATGTAATTGTTTTAAAGCACCCATTTTAAGAGAATATACTGTGCAATGAAGAAACCAGTTTAGGCATTTGCTATAAACTGAATTATTCCAAAAGGATAATCTATAACAGCCCTGTAAATTCCTTTAAAATGATAACAGGACAGTTTGACCAATTTTTTTTAAATATACTTCCTTTTATGTGTTCAATAATTAAATGCCTTTGGGTCCTTCATTTCATTATAGATCTGTTCAGGTTTACAAACCAATAATCTTTTAGATTTTATAATCCAGTAGATGCTCCTTGAACCCCTTGAAGGCCCAAAAGTGACTATCAGTTGACAGGATAACAAAATCCTCTGCTGGCGCAGAGCCTGGACCATATCTGGCTCCCAGAGGTCAGTGCACCGAGGGCCCCCCGACCCAGGTACTGGAGGCCACCTGTGCTTTCTCCTTCCTCTTGCTATATCCCTTGGCACAGGAGAATCATCTTCCCTTGTGGCTTTAGAGACATTAATCATCTCATCACCCTTCCATGAGGTCACGTTCTGCCAGTCCGGAAGTCAGGCTTAGGGTTTTCCAACTCTTTGCCCACAGACAGTGGAAGGTTTCTCTCAGCGTGTCAGCATGTGAGTGGGTCTCTTAACCTGTGATCATGTTTGCTTCTTGTCAGTGAGATGGCCTCGTTGCCTTGCGCCTCGGCAGACTGTGCAGGGTGCATCCTGAGCTGAACAGCTCCTCTTGAAGGACCAAATAGAGAAGGCATTTCTATATTCCTTTCACATTTTTTGCCCTCCCCCTCCCACCTACTCTTATTAAAAGATGCTGATTTTTTTTCTTGGATGTTGTCCTTTATCGGCGACCAGATGGGTGCAACTTGCTGATACGGGTGGGGCCCCCACAGCAAGGTGACTGAATCACCAGCCAGAGGTACCCGGTTGGAGAGAGCAGTCCAGAGAGAGATTTAGGGCTGTGTGAGGGTTGACTTAAACCTAACCTATGCCAAGACCAGACAGTCATTCGGTGATGGTACGGACCATAATCTGGGTTCTTCTCAGCGTGAAATCGCCCACTCTACCTCTTTTCCAGTGAAGCACAAATAATACAGCTAACACATAGGGAACTGAAACTCCCTTCCTCTGGTAGAAACCCCCCCGACTCCCAATTGCCCCTTGAGACCAAGTCTCCAAATGGTTGACAGTGCTTGTCTTGAGTCATCCACCATGTTGACAGAGGTGGTTTAAGTGGAGGGAAAAGCAATGCCGGCTTAAATGTCTGTGGCCCCGGAATCGAGTGACTCTGTGGCGCTCGGCCTCTCAATTGCTTTGTGTGTCCTGGGAGACAGACCCAGGCAGACACTGCTCTTGTGGCTGTGTGGATGGCAAAATTCCTGCACCCAGACCTCATTCTATCTGGCTTCTCAAAGAGGTCATCAGTTCAGTTCTGCTAATTCTCTCTAAAGCAGTGTCTTTATGACCTAGCTGAAAATGCTTTTATTTCTGAATTCAGAGTAATTTCGATGCATTTCTTCTTCTGCTGCTGCTGCTGCTATATTGCAATTGTCCACTAAGCAGCAATCAGGGAAAATTGCTAAAAGCTTCTTTACTGCTTCCATTCCATCAGCAAAACCATTTTTCCCCCTTTTAAAGAGCAGAGAGAATGATTAGATTACTAAATCTTATCATTGGTCAATGGAAGAGCCATATTCTAAGGGTTCTTCTCTTCCTTACCCTCCTCCCCTAAACAAAAAGGGGGGGAGGTGTTTATAATATGTTGAATTATTTGTTAAGAAATGTCCTGATTGTCTGAAAAGGCAGTAATTGCACGTGCGTCATATTTGTTATTAACCCTAAAAAGGAAAATTGCTCAACTTAATTCATCTGGAAGTTTCCCAAAAAATAATAGGGTAACCTTTTAAAATATAATCAATAATTAAGTATACCTCCTGTCAGGCGAGATGGTTTAAAACATTTGCTCAGAGAGGAAAAGAAAACAGGTGACCTACTTCTTGCTCTCTGCATTCAGAAGGCGTCTTTCGAGCACCTCCCATTGGTGGCAGAATGGCTCAAGATGCTCCGGAGCCCTCTGCGTGAAGAATGCAGAGCGCTCCTCTTCCCACGCCCAGTTCTCTCTCACTCTGCAGGCCACTCTGCGGGCCACTGGTTAGGCCTGGACTACAAAGGTCTTTTTAAAGCCTTTGATCTCATCACTGCAGAGGAGGGTTTTTGTTTGTTTGTTGCTTGTAGTTATCTGCTCATTAAGCCTTCCAGCTCATTCCTTGACAAGGGTAGTCAGTTGAGCCACCCCGGGGGGAACCAGGTGGTGGAAATGCCTGTTATGAACACTGCCCCTTAAGGCAGCTCATGCCTCTTGTCCCTACCGATGTGATGTCCTTTTCTTCATTTCAGGTTAGTCTCCTAACTTGGGGTAGAGAGAATATGCTGCTGGAGCTAGCGAGAAAGTTTCCTGGTTAACACATTCTTGATTACAATGCTTCCTGCACAGTCACATCAGGAAGAGAAGGCCCCTTGCAACGGACATCCCCAAACCCCCGATACTCCTCATTCTTCCTCCTCCTCCTCCTCCTCCCCTTTGCTATCATCTAACTGAGCATTCCTGGGAGGGGGAGTTGTTTGTTTTTTCCAGAACTGAACACAGCCTCCTAATTCCATCCTTTTTACAAGGGCTTATGAAACTGAGGCTGATTACAGCATGTTCAAGGGCCCTGAGCGCTTCGCTCTTGTTCCACGCCACTAATGAATTCTCCTCTTAGAAAAATATTTTGCTTCTCACTGCAGCTTACAGAAGGGCTACAAGCTTTAATCATGAATCATTTCCTCTGGTAGAACTTTCCCTCTTTTTCGTCCCCTGCAGAAGTAAGGCTTTCCTGCCCCTTTGGTGTTAGCAGTTACAGGACTGTGCCCATAAGGCTTTAATGCTTGATTGGCTTTGCCCACGCGACTTATCAATTTGCCTTAAATGTGGAGCTATTGGACACCTTCCACACAGTAAGTGAAGTTGTGCTGGTATGCCTCCAGGAAGTGCAAGAAAAGGAGAAAAATGTGCTCACCAGCCCACATCCCTTTTGGCTGGTCTTTTCTCTGTCATTCTTGGGCTGCAAAAGATGGGCAAACGCAGCCCACCCATAGGAGAATGAGGAGGGCCGCACCATCTCTAGGACAGGAACTGTCAAGTCGTAGCTCTTGGGGGGGGAGGGGTAGAAAATCCACAGTTCTCACCACCTCTCACCTGACCCTCCATCAACTCTCTTGAACCTGTGCAAATGGACGGAGCAAAAGAAAATGGAAAGAGATGTTTGTCAGCACACAGGGACCTTTGCTGGCCCGAGCACAACTCCATATTGATGTATCAGAGACCCAGAGTTTCACTGCCACTTGTGTTAACCTCCATTCTGTGTGGCATGTGGCCAAAGAAACATGTCAGTGTGCTCACCCATTCGAGGCCTGAGCCGGGGGGTGGCCATCTTGAGATAAGAGGAAGGGCAATCTCTTAGAAGGAGTGGTCCCACTTATTCTTTTTTTGTTTGTTAGAGAGAACAGGAGTTGAGGGAGCTGATTTCCAGGCTCGGATGCCTCCCGGAGGGGCGCCCGTACGGTGCAGGCAGGTGGGCAGCTGCAGGGGCAACGGGCAGGGTGAATGATTCGAGGGTCACACCAGCTGTGTGGGCATCTTGTGAAATTGCCATGCAGCCACATTGCCATTCAAACTCAGTTCTGGGGTTGTTTTGCATAAAGTTTTGCCAATGTGTTCTTTTTTCTGTATGTATAAATTGCCTTTTTATAAAAGGTTTTGAAGTATTGTCTCAGTGATAAAAAGAGAGCGATGTTAACAGTTGTTGTAAATCTCACCGTATCCAATTGTAAGTATTTGCAGGGTACAGCGAAGCCTTAGCGTGCAAGAGCATTTATCTGTGCAGAAGGTGTCCTTCAACACCCAGGAGGTGAAGGGATCGGAAAGGTTCGGATTCTTTGTAAATGTCCCACTTTTCTTTCTCTGTGTGTATCTATTGACATGCCTTAGCACACGCCCTCCCTCCCTGATCCCTTTGCCCTGTCACTAGAACATCCAGAATGCTGGTGCACTGCCAGTAGAACAAGCCGATGGAACCCTAACCAGTTATCTCTCGTGTGACAGGGGAGGAAGAGAAACTCCATAGTATTCTTTGTAGAATATACATACCTGTAGGATGCTGTGTAATGGGAAACCATAGAATTGGGCTTTTGTCATTTCAAAGTTGGAGAAATGTATGAATAAAATGTATAAAACATGAAAAGGCAGTTGTCTCCTCAGATTGTAGGCCACACAGCTGGGGGACAAACCGCAAGAGGTTTAGAGGGAGGAGCTCCTCTCCAGCAGCAGACCCTGAAGCCCTTCCATGAAAGCTGGGCAGTTGGCAGCTTCTACCCCTCCGGGAGGAATGCATACACCCCAAGCACCTGGGCCCCCCGGGAGTCTGGCATGTCGGTTATAGACTGACCCGAGAGCAGCTGGCGCTCAGCTGCCCGCATGTGGATGCAGATATAAATAGCTTGAGCTTTAAAAAAGGGAGGGGGGAACCCAAGTTGTGACCATCACCTAGAAAGAGAAGTCTAAATGGGTCTGAGCAGCGTAGGCATCCAGTGTGGTGTGAGTGTCCCCTGGTTAATAGAAAGCCCCAGGAAGATGCCCGCTGCCTGTGGTGTTGGCTGGCTGGCTTTGGTCTCTGCCCAGAGTCTGGGATGCACTCCTTGAGAGCCTTGATGACTGACTTTCCACCCTCCCTTCCCTGCCCTTGACCTAGGCTTTGCCCACGCAAAGGGCCATAGCGGCTTCAGAGACTCACACCAGCATGTGCCCAGAAATAGCCCAAGCCCGAATGTGCTCACTGACTGGCTCACTTTTAAGACCTATATTAAGGTGACATAAACAAGGAAAGATTATGCACTCGACTCAAGTAAACTACACTTTCAAAACTTTCACTTTCATGTGAAGTTCTTCGAAGTTCACACAAAATACAGAGGAGAGTCTAGGTCACATTGGACACAAGAAATTCAGCTCCTGACCTTTTTGTTCATAGAACCCCATGTCATCTTTCTACAGACTCGTTACCCTAGATGATGAGGGGCCGAAAGCACAATGGTACCATTAAACTGACTTCCTACACTTCACAGCTTCTAAAACACATGCAACATGTCCATATGAAGCTGATAGAAATGAACAGAAACATGTCGTTACTTTTCCCAGTTTGGTATGCTGAGTAAATTGCACTAGATACCATTCCATGAACTGCTGAGCAGAAACTGGGAATCTGCACAAACAATGCAGCAAGACTGTGCATGTCTTAGACAATGACCTTGAGCTAAGTTCACTGAGAGCAGTGAACTTGACTATCCCAAGAGTAGCAAGTCCCCTAAAGGACAATATAGTAACACAAGCCAGCAACCTGGTCAAAGGGAAGGGTTGCTTCATGAGAGAATACTCCAGAAGGTGGCATCTGTCTACCAAGGAGTAAGCGCATGTAAGCCAACAGAGGAAATCCCACAGTTATAGCAGCATCCAAGATGCTGGGACCACCGCATCAGCTTGCAATGTTCCTCCCCTTCTTTACTCTGAACAGGTGCCCAGAAACAGTGTTGCCAGAGATGCTTCTCAGGCTAGAGCACTGACAGCTTCCAGCTGTGCTGTTGTCTGCTTCGAGGAAAGCCAGCTCTATTGCCCTGTGTCATGGCCATTTGCCCTGCGGAGAATCTGGCTCCCTTCTCCCACCGGGGTTCTGATGAACGGCTGGAGAAGGACTAGCCTGTCAGGGGGCTCACATGTGACCCCAGGTCACAAGATGTTAAACTGAGGCCAGAGGTGGGGAAATCCAGGCTGAGTGCAGGCTGAACCACACATATCAACAGCTCCCCACAGAATGTCTTCGAGAACTTCCTGGCAGTGGAAATGTTCCATTTCTTATTTGAAGTGGTAGTCACACGGGTTCTTCTGATTGTCAAAATACTTTGAACTGAACACCTTAGACTTGTGCATTTTATTGTATGTAAAATATACCTTAGTGACAAAAAAGAAAACCCATAAGATCATCTTCGCAGCTGCCAGAAAAACACTTGGCAAAAAAATTCAATATCAAGTTCTAATTTAAGAACAAACAAAAACTCTTAAAAGAGAAAAAATATATTTAGTGGATAAAGAATAGCTCTTTCAACCTAAACCTACATAATAATCCGCCTAAAAATGACACAATAAATGCATTAAAATTGCCATTATCTTTTTTTTGTTTGTTTTTGAGGTAAGTTTACAGCACTGCGTTTTAGTACAGGTTCATACCTCTTCAAATGTTTGTGACCCTCTGCCATTATCTTTTAAAAGACCAAAGTAGCACATGATCTTCATCAAATGAGTAGAAAATACAGGGAAACAAGAAGCAACTGTCCAACCAAATTCTGCCACGAAGAGACAATTGCGATAAACATTTCTATCTCTGTCAGTCTAGTAATTTTCCATGCAAATACAGGCAAATATAAAAGTTCATATTTTTCACACAATGTGGATCTCTGACCCCTTTTAATAAAAGAATCTAAAAATAAAGTAATCAGTGACATTTACTGGCCGTTGTCTGATGTTCCACACACTGAGCAAGCGATGCCCACCATGGGGTGCCTCTGCCCTGGGCAGCTGCCCAAGAGTCCAGTCAGAAATAGCCCCAGATTCAGCACTGGTGGTCTTATGGACATACATTGATAAATGACGTTTTTCTTTATTTTACCATTTTACTTGTGATATGTATTTTTTGATCTATACTGTTAATGTCTGTAGCTAACAACCTGCCAGTTGCCCCTTTCCTGCCCCGCCTACCCCCCCAGGAGGGTGGCGTGAGACCAGGGCAAGACCAGGCAGGTACCTTCCTTCCCTGTACCTCCCAACTTAGTTTTCTCTGGATAAACTAGACCTCTGCCAGTTAAGGGGTCTCCAGTATTGAGGGCCCAGGATTGCTGGGAACTTGCTTGGCCCATCCTCCTCCCTGAATGCCCTCTATATACTTGACCTTGAGCAAGTAGATTTGAATTGAGCAGGTCCTTCTCTATGGGGAATTATAAAAATGAGGCAAGTTTGGCCCTCCACACCCACAGTTCCACAGACTTAAGCATCTGAAGATTTTGGTGTCCAAAAGGGGTCCTGCCACCCCTCCCCCATGACTATCTAAGCACAACTGTAGTTCCGTTTTGGGGGAGTCAAGAGTTACATGAGACTTTTCCACTGCACTAGGGTCGGCACCCCACCCCCAAGTTATCTAAGAGTCAAGTGTTTCCTCTTCTCCCTCCCTGTGGCTTTAAGGGCTTCTGCACATGTTCCGGAGCCCAGATCATCACTGTGGAACGTGGATGCCTGTTATTACAGCAGTTTGCTTTATTGTAGACATGATTACATACAGAATGAGTGCAGCTCCAGTCACGCTGAGGTAGATGGAAGCCACAGTCTTTAAAACGAATCAGGGGCCTTCCTGGTGGTGCTAGGGGTTAAGTCTCAGCACTATGAAGCTATCTGCAGCGGATCTGGACACTGGCAGAGAGCGGGTCCATGGTGAAGACAGTCTTTTCACTATATAAGGTGAAGACGATTGGATAAACATGGAAAAAAATAATCGAGTTCCAACTTTATATCATACAACTCTAGGCGCAATGCGGTTGTAAACGTGAAAGGCAAAATAATAAAACTTTGCAAGATAGTACTCTAGAATATCCTCATGAAGTAGCATAGGAGAGGATAATTTCAACAGGATACAAAGAAAGATCAGTCATTTTTGATCTCCAGACAAATTCAGGGCCTCCCAGGGAGGGAGGCCCAGGGATTAAGTCTCAGAGCTACCACCTCAATGGCCCTACTTGGTGGCCTGAGTTCTATCCCTGGCCAGGGGTGACCAACATGGCGGGGCAGACCTCTCCTGTATCACCCACAGTCTTGTGGGTCCTCTCACTGCCCCCACCCGACACACACACACACCCCAGTTTTGTATGCATACATCAATTTTTAAAAATAATAAAATAGGCCCTCCCTGGTGGCGCAGCAGGTTAAAGCACTGCACTAAGAAGCTGAAACCACTTCCGCATGAGTTCGATGCCCGCCTGCCCCGGAGATGACCACATGGAGAGGCAGACCTCTCCTGACCCGCCCGCTGCTCCCCTCAGCAGTGTACTTCATCAGTCTGCCTGTTCCGCTCCCCACTCTGTCTCTGGTGAAGCCTCTCACTGCCCCTGAGCTTCTGGCCTGTACCCCAGTTCTGTATGAATAAATAAATAAATCTTTAAAAATAATAATAATAATAATAAAATAAAATAAAGCGAATCAAACTGAGCAAAGCTAAGCATTTTGCAGATGACTGTGTGACCAGACCAGACCACTAGGGCCAGTGTGGCGGGACTTGCAGCGGCCCGTGGGGAGTTCTGTGGGCAACACCATTAGCCTGGTCACTGGCTGCCACCAGCAGACCCTGATTTGTCCAGAACCTGAGGAGGAGGCTGCAAGGGAGGGCAGCTTCTTCCCAGCAGACACAGGGCTGGGGTCAGAGGGTCCTGTAGTGGCAACGCAGAGCAAAGGAGGCACCTCGTACTGAGCCAGAGCATTGTCAGAATCGTTTACTCCCTAACAGTGCTTTGGATTTCTGCTGGAGAACGCAAACCGTCAGCTTCAGCTCACTGAGCTTCGGGTCATACAAACGACAATGGCAGAGTTGTACTAGGTCGAAAAGAATAAACATCTAAAGGGGAGAACTGCCCAACCAGAAAATAAAACTTATTCCAGAGTTTAGTTGGTGTGATAAAGGCAGTGCGCAGGGAGAAGCGAAAAGACCCAAGGAACAAAAGAGACTGATGCAGTCACTACTGTGTGAAAAGTGGAGCGTGATGGACATGAACTTACGTGCAGTGCTGAAATCACGGACTATTTTATTGTATTATCCATATGGGGCCCTCCCTGGTGGTACAAGGGGTTAAAGCACAATGCTATGAAGCTGTCTGCAGCCACCACAGCACAAGTTCGATCCCTGGCCAGGGAGCTGACCCTCCTGCAACAGACCTCTCCTGACCCACCCACTGCTCCCCTCAGCAGTGTATTTCAGTCACTCCCCCTGTTCTGCTCCCCTCCTCTGTCTCTGGTGAATCTTCTCATATCCCCACACCTCTGGTCTGTACCCCAGTTCTGGTATGCATAAATAAATAAATCCTTTAAAAAAAGAATTATCCATATGGCCAAAATTAAAATTAGATCTCTACCTC